AAAAGCTCCGCCGACGAGCCAGCCACCAACTACACGACCCTCCCAAAGGGCTGTTGTTTCTGTTATCGCAACGGGGAGACTATTTTGGCGACGCTCCTCAAGTACCCTCGCCAAGGCTGTGGCTGCACTATTTGGCCCCCCAGGCTCAGTACGTTGGCGCCCAGGTGCTGGGCAAGATCAGCTATCACATATTGGTTGAGATCAAGACGGTGGACTTGGTCAATCTGACGGTGCTGGGGTTTCTTTTGATCAGAGGCCTCATTACCGACCAGGATATGGTCACCTGTTTCACTGGGGAAATAATCAATAACCCTTGGGCTCACGCCGGTGGCAGACCAGTACAGCAGTACCTGTTTGTCGCGGAAAACCCCCAGTGGGGGCTGTTCTTTGCCAACGATATGGAGCACTGGAAACACCTTATCCCCGATGTGACAGGTGCTAGCGATAGCGACGTCGCCGATAGGTTACAACACTTATTTGCAGGAGACGGCTACGGCCACGACGTGGTGTTTATGCGGTGGAAAGAGCAATTCCTCGTCCCCGACCTGAGACTCAAGCTGATTGCTGGTGCTTCATTTGACGGCTTCTACTACGTGTCCTTAAGTCTAGGAGGAGACGGCAGACCACCGGGGACCATCACCGGCATGTATTTCAGCAATAAGACGCTGGAGAAGTTCCAGACGTTAAGATTGAAATACGCCGGTGGAGGCAGCGACCGCCAACTGTACGAGTTTGTCTGACCAGAATACTAAATCCCTATACACCCGCACGGGGTACACGAAATGCATTAATGAGAATATGACGTACTTTATGGCTTAATTGTAGGTTTGGTAGCGCTGGGCCTCGTGCCACCTCATCTCGGCCTCCAACCGGCGCCGGGCCTCCTCCTCTGCTTCTAAGAACTCTTGGTATTGTCGGGCTGCTGCCACTTGTTGTTTTCGGAGTGTTTCTTTGGCCTCAGCTTCTTTCCGTTGTTGGTATGGAAGCTTCCACAGCTGACCGTTTAAGTTTAATTGAGACTCAACCAAATCACCAAATTGCTTTGTGAATGTCAAAAGCAGCGACTCAGCACATTGAAGGATGTCTCCTTTCTCTTGAAAGTCATCAGCTGATGGTATTAGAGAGGTATCGATGTCGATGACGGCGACTCCGGGACTATATCCTCCAATATCATAATCTACCATCAACCCTTGGTCATTGGATTGTACGATATTGGTAACGGTTAAATGGGAACCCATAGTGCCACAGATGTCATGGGGATCACTGCGATTGGACCCTTTCATGGCTATCCCTAATTGTAAGGGCAGCAGCACACCATCAACCCTAAACTGTCCATTGGTTTCGGAAATGGTTACCATGTGAGGTCTTAGTGTTTCAGTGCCACAGCCACAATCAGCACACCACGAAGTACCGAATCCTAGCCACTTATTATCGCTCAAAGGGATAAATGGCAGAGATCCTTTAAACTTGGTTGAGACCTGATTAGAGGAGCTAACCACCGTACATGGAGCCAGCTCCGTCAACGGACACCTAATTACCGTAAACGGGTCCCAAGAACTAACAAATGAAACATAGTCTTTGGTAATTGGAGTTATCGGAGTCCATTCGTTATCATCGTATCCAGTACAATGGAACGACCACCGCTTAGCACCGTCTAGAGTTATGGCAAAGTGTTTCGCTTCCATATAGTTGAATTTAGTGGAGTACACCAAAATCACTTCTCCCAGAGGTAAATGGAGTAAATGGAAGGCATCGACTCCAAGGTACCACTCGATACGAGGAGGAACAAATACCGGCACCTCGAGCATTTTCGGGAATTTAACGGTGTTTCCATTAAGGGTAATATTCTTTGTAATCGCCTTGTTTTCAAGTTTATCATACACTTGAGCCACAAGTACTGAAAACAGTGGTGTTGGTACTGAGTATGGGTCTCTCTTATACACAAGTTTCAGCACAACTAAATAGACTCCCGCGTCTTCAATCCATACCAGTGATCCTTGAGTTACTGTCCATGCCTCCTGAGTCTCTTTAGTTCCAAATTGGAGGTGGCGGGGTCTCACTAAGTATTTCACTTTATCCCAAAACTCCCCTCCCTGAGCCATACAAAGCTTCACCAATGACTCAATGTCCACCGGTCGTTCCTGAGAAGTTGCAGTCATCGCAATTGGCTCCAGATGACAAGTTTCGGGATTGTTTCGAAACCATAAAACCGGGAAATCATCATTATTGTTTGAAGTAAAATGGTTTTGTCGTCGGTGGAGTATTTGGCGAAGGAGAAGCAACCACACGAAAACAAGCGGCACCGATACTGCCACCAGGCGAATCCAACGCACCATCACCGGCGAAATTTGACGTCTTTGAATTTTACAATTTTTGTGGGTCTACTACATCTTTGAGTCTACTAATTTTGAGTCTATCGCCGAATTCGGACTTGGCACTCTTGTCGCATTCGCTGGAAATTATGAAGGTTACGATAAAGCCAAGCACGACTCAGCCACAAACAAGAGGAATCGAGGAAGTTATGAAAGAGTGGAGATTTGGTTTTACCTTATTTGTAATAGTGATTTGATTATTGAAGAGTTTTGACCGAAGAAGTTGCGGTTACACGAGTAGGGCTCTACCACTGCTTAGTACGGCTGAAAGTGTCTCAATTGTAGAATGAAATCTAATTATACGTAGAATGACCACGGGGTCTCAAGAATTAACACTATCAATTGACTAAAAAGGAGAGATAGAGTGATCAACATTATGACTATAGCCATCATAGTTTAAGGGCAATCTATATAACATGATCAGCAGTCCAATTCGATCAGTATGGTCAATTGTAGTCCCCAGCAGTAAGCAATGTTATCCGATGATCCCACGAACTCGACTGTATCTACGTTTGTACTACATCGTTGCTGTCAAACCAGGCCTTATACTATTACAATTTAAATACGCTACACTCATTCTTTTTCGTTGTTGGGTTCCACCACCACCACGACGTCAATCACGTTACCCGTTTCGATATCGACTTTACTCAAGTACTCATCGCCTTTCGTAACCTCGACATCCTTGTTACTATAGACCACCACTTGCTTCGGGGGCGGGTGATGAGGCTGGTTCCATGGCGAATACAAGTCAGACTCGTTCCACAATTCAAGCACCCGTTTGCGTAAGTGGTCAACGGTACACCCGTATTCCGGGTCCTGAGACAGCTCAAAGTCTTCCGGAGAGAACTCCAAGTGGTATTTGACAAACTGAGGTAGCTGGAATACCAGTTGTCCTTCCTCGGTCATCTTCAGCCAGTTGGTAAGCGACGCCACCCCTCGTTTCAGTTGCCGTTTCAAGCTATAATAGTTGTTCAATTGGTCGGTATCGTCAGCGGTAACCACGTTGATCCGCACGTACACATGGGCACAGTGGACGGGGATCTCCTTAAAGATATGCCTGGCGTGGTACTCCCAGAGGCCCAAGTGGATCCCGCTCCAGTAGACAATCTCGTAGTTGATCACAATGAAGAAAAGCACAAGCAACAGCTCAGTAATGAATTTGGACGTCGGGGTAATGATAAGCTGGCGGGTGAACTCGGTGGCGTTGAGGGTCCGGGTGAGGTGCTCGTCGACCACCGAACACACCGTGGTGAGCTGGGAAAGCATGACGGATTATATTGTTAGGATAAGGGGCAAAGAGTGGCACCACCTCTCAAGACGGCGATCCTCCTCCGCTCGCACAAAAAACGAGGGGCGAATGTTGGGCACAAGAAAGATCGGTGGAATATTGCACTCACAAATGTGAAAATAAAGCAAATAAGTATGTAGTGGAGTATAAAACCTCATATGAAACACAACATGAGGGTCAAATTGATATTTCGGAGCATATTGAAGGCAAAGTGAGCGTTCTTCCTGGCTCGTTCCACATACCAAATGCATTTTGCGTCGAAAACGGGCGTGTAGCTCAGTTGGTAGAGCGTTCGCTTAGCATGCGAAAGGTCTTGGGTTCGATTCCCAACTCGTCCATAACTTTTTCAAGTCCAACGCGGTACTTGATTTTTTTTTTTTTCTAAACAGTGGACGCGTCGCTGATAACGTCGACCATAACTAATATACTCAAAACTACAATGACATTTAAAGTGATAATCTCGAATTCTAATAGGTAGTACCTCATGATAAACATGTTTTAATATCACTATTTAAATTTCCTAGTTTTCTTTTCTCTATGCCAGGTTCTATACCACCTACCCTCCACTCAATTTCGCACTTTTCAGTCTCATCCAGTACCAACCTCCACCACACTCCCTTAATACTATGGACGAAGCCAATGGCGGCGTGGCGCCGCTTGACGCCATGTTTGAAGACCGCAGGAGGAAGTTCATGGAATTCCTCCAGCCCGGTGGCAACCAGGACGGTTATACGCCGCAAATCCGCGATATGATCGCTAAGGGCCATGTACGTCTCGTGGTGCTGATGGACCATATTCGTGAGTTTGACCGTGATTACTGGCAAGGTTTGCTTAATATGCCGCCTGATTATTTACCTCCAGCCGAACAGGCTTTAAAAGAAGTGGTCCAGATGAATTATGACCCCCACACGGCTCCGTTTGAGTACCCACCGGACCAGAAATTCCTGCTTGGGTTTAGAGGGGCTTTCGGTTCTCACCAGCTTACCCCGAGAACGATTGACTCTCATTTCTTAAGTCAAATGGTGTCGGTTGAAGGGATTGTCACCCGTGCTTCGTTAGTGCGCCCAAAGATTATTCGTTCAGTGCACTATGTGGAGAAGACCCTGAGGTTTATTTACCGTGACTATAATGACCAAACGACCCTGTTTGACCCCATTCTGACTCCAGCGATTTACCCTACTGAGGACCAAGACGGTAACCCTTTGACTACTGAGTATGGGTTGCTGACTTATCGCGACCACCAAAGAATTGCCGTTCAGGAAATGCCGGAAATGGCTCCCGCGGGTCAATTGCCTCGTTCCGTCGACGTCATCCTTGATGATGACCTTGTGGACTTGACTAAACCCGGGGATAGAGTCCAGATTGTTGGTGTGTATCGACTGTTGGGTGGCGGTAACCAGCTGGCTCTGTTTAGAACGGTGATCCTCGCTAACCTGGTGTACCCTCTCCACGCTCGGTCCACCGGTGTCGCTGCCCACGAACGTCTTTCTGATAGTGATGTTAGGGCCATCCTCAAAATGAAGAACCACCCACAACTATTTGACATTTTGTCCCACTCACTCGCGCCGCTGATTTACGGTTACGAATACGTTAAAAAGGCCGTGCTTCTTATGATGCTTGGTGGGGTGGAAAAGAACTTGGATAACGGGACCCATTTGCGTGGTGACATTAACTTGTTAATGGTGGGTGACCCCTCGACGGCCAAGTCGCAAATGTTGAGATTTGTGCTTAACACCGCCCTGCTTGCCATTGCCACTACCGGTAGAGGTTCTTCTGGTGTCGGTTTAACCGCTGCCGTTACCACCGATAAAGAAACCGGTGAACGGAGATTGGAAGCCGGGGCCATGGTCCTCGCTGATCGGGGGATTGTGTGTATCGATGAGTTCGATAAAATGCTGGAATCTGACAGAGTGGCCATCCATGAAGTGATGGAACAACAGACGGTGACCATTGCTAAGGCCGGGATCCACACATCGTTAAACGCTAGATGCCTGGTAATCGCTGCTGCTAACCCCGTTTTCGGTCAGTACGATATCCATAAAGATCCCGGTAAGAATATTGCCCTTCCCGACTCTTTGCTTTCTCGTTTTGACTTGTTATTTGTCATTACTGACGACGTTAATACTACCAGAGACCGTGTGGTGTCGGAACACGTGCTTCGAATGCATCAGTTCCAACCTCCGGGGCTTGCTGAAGGTGAACCCATCAGAGAAAAGCTGTCGATCTCGCTTTATGTGGGTGAAGATGACGATGAGGAAGAACAAGAAGAACGTCCCGTGTTTGAAAAGTTTAATGCTTTACTTCATACCGGGGCTGAACGCCATCTGGGCCAGATTGTGGCGTTATCATTCTTGAAAAAGTACATTCAGTACGCTAAACAGAGAATCCAACCGACCCTCAGTAAGGAGGCTCTGGATTACATTATCGCCACCTATACCTCGTTGCGTAACGATAAAGTGCAAGAGACCCAACGCAATACTGCCCCCATCACTGCCAGAACTCTTGAAACCCTTATCCGTTTAGCTACTGCCCACGCCAAGGTGAGACTCTCTAAGCTGGTGCTGGTGGCCGACGCCCAGGTGGCGGAGGAGCTTGTACGGGTGGCGCTTTTCAAGGAAGTGCAAAAGAAACTGAAGCGGGCGAGACCTCACACTCACTCCCCTGAAGTTGACGAAGATGAATTCGGTGAGGAAGATGATGGCGAAGATGTGGATGACCCTGTGATCAGAGCTCCTCCGGCAAGAAATGCTGCTACTACTATTCCACCAGGAGAGACGACTCGTACTACTCGTCTGGGAGTCAGAGACGCTCAGCAACGCGCCGAAGCGGAAGCCACGAGAGCCGTCGAACACATGCATCTTGATGAGGACGATCTCGATGATGACGAACAAGACAATTATCACGAGGATGGCGCCGAAGACGACGACGACGATCTCGTGGCCATTCTGGGGCTGAGAATGGACGAGTTCATCCGGGCGATGGCGCTGGTATTCCAGATGGACATGTTTGGCAGTGTCGAGAACGCTGCTGGCTACGACGACGTGGTGGCGGCACTTAACGAACGGGTGCTGCCGCCGTTCACCGAGGAAGAGCTTGAGGCTGGTTTTGATAAGCTCACGGGCGACAACAAGGTGATGGTGCTGGACGGCATCGTCTACCGGATCTAAATGTATAATTATGAACGATTAATTGAGAATGTCTTAGTATAAGTATTAGGGGTGTAGTAGATTCGAGTCATTCAAGTTGTTCTCCCTCCAAAATGCTTTCTACCTTATGTAGATGTCAAGAAGCTTTCGCAATTGTTGCGTTGCTATCTTAACCAGAGCCATCGACATATACGGTATGATCTCCAATGAATGGAAAGTTATGGTAGTCTCTTCGACGATAAGCTATCATTGAGCCATAATGGACATCAACTGAACCTAGACCCAATTCAATCGGTAATATCACCTGGCCATGTTCATTAAGTAGTGTCTATATATATGCCAATGCTCATTGAATGAAAAGTGTCTCTGTCGCTGTTTCTCAGGTTATGGGTATTCTTGATCCCAAAGTCTATGAATTGAAAATGTGTGTCTCCCGTCCTTACTGTTAAAGAGTTTGGGTATTGATATTGTCACGGAAACGGTCTCATCACCGGTTGCAGATATCGGCGTTGCACAAATGGATTATCGAACGAGTTAGCGAGATCATCCTCATCCTCATCAAACTCTTCCAGGTCATCTTCTTCAATGAAACTGCGATTATTCACCGGTGGTTGCCGTAACGGAGAATGCCGAGTTTGTCTCTCATTCGGGGCCATATCCATTGAGTAACGGTTTACCAAAGGCCGTGGCAGTCGTCGCTGATTACCCAATTGAGGCATCGCCATCACCAGTGCCCGTTTAGGGGTCAGACTCACCGGACCGGTACGAGAAGAAGGAAACGGCGCCAGAACCAGAGTAAACTTAAGCTTATGCATGAGATCTTCAGTGTCAAAGTCAGGTCGAGCACCTTCGTCAAGGAGACCTTTAAACGCAAGCGCTAGGTGGCCAGCAGCGACGACGACCCGGTCATCGGCTTGGGCGATGACAAGCTTTTGGATGGCGTGAAGCAGCGCCCGCACCAGCTGTTTTTGACGGGCAGTGAAGTGGGTGGCGTCCACCATCGCCAACAAGTCGTCGAGCGCCTGCGACACCGCCCCCGCCGTCAGCATCGTGGAGATTGGGGGTTGTTTTGGTGGGAGGGCTTGTGGTAGGGACAATGCGAGCCGCACTAACGCTGATAACAGTGGAAGCAATGGAAGAGTGATTTAAGGCAAAAGAATCGGGATTTTGAAGGGGAAATTTGGAGATTAGGGTAATTTGATGTGTTAGATTCTATTGACATATTTTTGAATTTTTTATAGATTTGAGTTGGTAAAGTCTATATCTAACTGGAAGTTGGATTCTCCGCTCACTATTGCCAATTTGTGCGAGCTTGGGTGTAGAATAGAAAGGAGCCTAAAACCAATTTAAATCAACGATACTGTATATATTATCAATTCGCAAGCCTAATTTGTCAAAGAAACTAAATGAATCGTTTGATGCGATTAAATATGTGGGACACCTAGTTACATTGCTTATCTCGTCGTACAAATCTACAAGACAAAGTAGAGAATCGATAGAATTACCCTGAATTAACCTCAGGATCATTTGAATTAGGACTCCCATATCCTCAGTTGAACCAATGGCAGAATCAAAATACTATAACGTTCAAATTCACATCATGATCAATTTTGATTCGAATCTTCCCCCTATTCAATAGACAACATATTCCCTCCGATTTGATGGCTTCATCAACTCATCTACAATATCAGTGATTATCTTTCCCATTTTTTTTGTATATTACAGGTAGCCTCTATAACGTGGATGCCGGCTAGTACAAATCCAGTTTGACAAAGTCGTTGACCATCCCCATTTGCAACAACCGCTGGGTGCGTTTCAGCTCCGTGACAATGCGCTGGCGGTGTTTGTCGGCCAACCGCCGCTCGGCGTCGCCAAAGGGGATCTGGGTCCGCTCGTCGAGGTGGTCGTCCTCGCGGTCGATGTCGAGCTCGCCCATCATCACCACGTTCTCCCCACGCACCATAAACACCCCGCGGTACGCCTGGGCGTACTGGGGCTTGGCGGCGGTGTCGTTTTTGGCGTCTTCATCGTCGTCGTTGTCAAGGTAGATCCGCTCGACGGCGTCTTGCAACACCAAGTTGGCGAACTGGTCGAAGGTGCGGAGAATGCCAAACACGTTGCGCCCGTCGCGCAACAACACAAAGATCTTGCGGTCCACCAGCCCGACAATCGCCGCCGCCGTGGTGAACGCGTACAGCTCGAGGTAGAGGTCCTCGACGTTCATGGTCTCTATGGCCACCTTTTTCGCCCGCGCGAAATTTGAACCCTGAGAGTACAAGACCACGAGAGCCGTGCCGGTGTAAGTCGGGTTAGGACGGTCAGTTTTTGATTGGTAAAAGTATAAATGTGTTTGGATTTTGGTGCTAATATTGTGTGTGTTTTTCGATTTTCAATTGGAGTGGTATTTGATACTTTTTGGTAGTGTTGCCATCACCTCATCGCTGTCTACACCGCAACGTATAAACCTCTACAATTTAGTAGATATTCTTTGGTAAACTAGTGATAAAGTCTTACTAGCAAACTCTCTTATCCATTAACTTATAGTATAGTGCTCTAGTCATAGGATTTACCCAGATATATGGTCCTCTCCACCAAAAGTGTCTAGTATACGTGTATCGAACAGAATTACAACGAACCAGTTACCAAATATTCAAAATCAAAACCTAGGGTGATTCAATTCTTTACACATGTTTCACACATTATCATACCCATCACTAGATATCTTTATCGCGGGGGTCTTCGCATCGCATCGCATGTTCTCGTCGAACCCCACCATCGGCTACGGCGACATCGTCCTCGTCTTCATCTCTCGAGGCAACATCAAGCCCACTGTGGTTACTGAGGATGAAGTGATCAACACCCGCTACGGCCATTTTGCCCATAACGACATGGTGGGTGCGGTGTGGGGAACCCAGCTCGCGGGCCAGGGCGGCAAGGGGTTCGTCCATTTGCTCCGCCCCACGCCCGAATTGTGGACGTTGTCGCTCCCCCACCGGACCCAGATCGTCTACACTCACGACAGTCTGTATATCATGCAGAGAATGGAGGTCCAGGCGGGGCTGAGGGTGCTTGAGGCCGGCACGGGGAGTGCCCTGTTTACCCACGCCTTTTCCCGTACCGTGGCCGACCAAGGACACTTATACACTTACGAGTTCCACGAGCCTCGTTACCTTGAAGCTAAAGCCGAGCTCGAAGCGCATGGGTTGAATAATACCACCATCACTCATCGCGATGTGTGTGCTAAAGGTTTCACCATCGACGGGGCGGGCTTTTTAAATGCTGATGCCGTATTCTTGGACTTGCCCAGTCCCTGGGACGCTATCACTCAGTTGGATCCGGTGATGGCTGCCGATAAAAAGATAAACATCTGTTGTTTCAGTCCTTGTATCGAACAGGTTGATCGTACCGTCAAAGCGCTTCAGGAACACGGGTGGACGAAGATCGAGATGGTCGAGGTGAATAACCGTCGCTGGGAGGCGAGAAGGGAAATGGTTAAGGATGTTTCGGACGTGGTGAAACGGCTAAAGAATATCCACCAACGGAAACAACAGGGGATCGAGCTGTTGCGGGAGTTGAAGGCCGAACAAGAAGCGTTGGCTTCGGAAACTGAGCTGAGCCCTACTCCCGAGGCGACGCCTCAACCGAAACGGGCGAAGAAGGAGAAAGTGGTCGAGTATAACCCGTTCGGTAAAGGATTACGAGTGAGAGAAGGCGACGAAGGGTACCAGTGGGAACAGGTGACGCGAGTGGAACCGGAGATTAAGACCCATACCAGTTACTTGACGTTTGCCGTAAAGATCCCCTGGGGAAAACAAACTAAGGAAGAGGCTAACGAAGTGGCTAAGCCTGAAGAGTCTAAGCCTGAGGAGACAAAGGAGGAGCCGGTGGCTCAAGAATAAATTGCATACTAAAGCATCGACATTAATGTACAATACTAGAATTGATAACGTATTTAATTGGAGTCAATCGTCACCTTCTAACACCTTTTGAACATCCCAACTTTATGATTTTTAGAGAAGAGATTAAGGATTGAAATTGGACTATGTAATATAGATTTTCAACAAAGTCAGCAAAGTAAATCAATTTCAAATTTTTGTTTTCAAAATTTGTAATTCATATATTCTCTGTCTCTCTATGCTAGTGCCAGGGCATGGTGCGCGCCTCACCGAAATGTTTATATGATAGCGCCATACCACATGGCTCTTTAGCGCGCCCCATTTACTGAACCCCCACAAACCATGAGTGCTGACTCCCGTCGGCACCGCTCCCGAAAACGTGGTCGAATAAAAGGTAAGCGGTCGAGAAGCGCAGCCAGAAAGCGCCAGCGCCGCAGCCACCACCTGCCGGAGCTAACTCCGCCAGCCCCAGATATCGACGGTGTCGAGGTAAATAACCTCAACAAGCGCTCTGACGAAGCCTATAATGTCAGATTATTTGGCAGTGATTTTTTTGAGCTGTTTTATAGGCTCAATTTGGGCCGACTGGAGCCACTGGAAACTCCAGAGATTGTTGATACTGACGAATCAGTGGAGTTTACCGAACCGGAGGAAATACCCCAATATGAGGACCAAATTGACGAGACTTCGATTTCGTCTGAACCTGAGATCATGATCCTGTATGCGAAGGAGACGTTGGTTGATCCTGACTCTGATTTATCCGACCTCGACAACTCTATGGATTCTCAGGAAATTGAGGAGTATTGGGACGACTCTGACGACGCCAATGGGCACGTGGATAAACATGGAACCGAGCCATATCCAGAAACGGACGAGACTGTTGATACCGATGAGTTTTTCGAAGCAGAAGACACCACCGGCTATGTGGACGAAAATGAAACTGACCGATACCTTGAACCTAATGAAATAGTTGATGACGAAGACTATGTTGACGCTGAGGAGGCAACGAGCTACGTGGACGCAGTTGACGACGATTACGACTACGTTGATAAACCTGAGGATACCAATGGATTTAGGAACGGAACAGAGTACGTGGACGCAAATGGAGCTGAAACTCACCAGGAAGACCTTGCCGTTACTGAGAGGTACGCTCTCACTGAGGACGCCAATGGCTATGTTGTCAACCACGACCACGTTGATGAATCTGATGATGTCAACGGGTATGTTGATGGAACGGTGGATAATAAGGAGTATTCGAACGCAGACGGCGTTGAGCTTTATCATGAAATCGAGGAAGTTGTTAACAGCGAGGAACATCTTGGAACTAAAGAAATAGTCGACAATGAGAGATATCGAGAAATTGATGAATTTGTCGACCCTGATCACTTTGATGAAGTCGAAGACGTAACCGGCTATGAACACGAAACTTACAATCGAACCCAAACCCACAATGCCAATGGTTACGTGAATGGAACCGACCGTACAACTAACTCTGAAACCGAGAATATCGTCGATACTGAGGACTATTTCGACGCTGAAGATGCGAGCGGCCATGTCGTTGAAAACAATCACGCTGATGAGCTCGAGGATAGCGGGTTCATGGATGGAAATGTGAACGTCACTGGCCACGAGAAAGTTGCCGCAGTTGAGGAAGATGCTGTTCCACAATCGCCCCTTTATGGTGGTCTTTTTGTTGACCTGGATTACTCATCAGATCCCTTTGAGGATAGTTACAACGATGAGACCTCCGATCCAATGTATCAACCTTTGCCAACTCCCCCTCGTGAAGATAACGAATGTCTTTCTGACAACGCAGAGGAGCCCAGCGTACTTGTTGTGGACATATCGCTGGATGACGATGCCGATGTCGAGCCAAACAAGTCTGACGCTGTCACCCAGCCTCCAAAAGTGAATGTTTTCAAACACGCTGAATCCGGCCTTGTCGTTTGTGCCGAGGGTCATATTCCTACCGTGGTTCTAGCAAGCCAGATATCAGACCACTTTTGTTACCGACATAGCAGAAAGGTGTGTTCTGACGAGACTCGTCGACGGCTTCGGGAAGAATTACTGAAAGGTACCGCCACCAATATCCCTCTCAACATTCTGACGCCGCTTCCGGGTATCCCCATTCTCCAGAAGCCGTTTTGCCATCGATGTCGCATAGTTTCAGAGAAGATTTGGACTCACGAGATCAAGCAGCCCGAGTGTGTGGGCAGCAAACGTGATTTGGTGAGGGCCCAGCGATGTTCTTTAGGCAAATGGGTCATCGTGGGGTCCGTACCCGAGGACACTAATCCGCAGCAGCTGGCGTTGACTGATATCACGGTGAATATCACTAAGCACGGTGAGACGGGTCTACTTGTGTGCGCCGAGGGCCATAAACCAATGGTAGTGCTCCCACACCAAATCAGTCAGCACATGCTGACACGTCACTCAGATAATAACACCGCGATTCGTGCGAAAGTTTTACAGGTTCTCAACACCGGTACAGTGACCAAAGTCCCTCCCAATATCCAAACCAAGTTCCCTGCCATCCCTGTGGTTACCGCGTATTATTGTCTACATTGTAAAAAGGTCACTACGCAAAAAGGGCACGCCACCACTGACAGATGTATTATTGTGCAAGTTAAGTGCCAAATCTACGCACAGAAACGAGGTGTGGTCATTGGACAGCTACCACAAACACATGACGTCAATGGAGACACTAGCTCTGTGGCAGTTGAGTTGAAAATCAAGAAACACCAGGAGACGGGGTTACTTGTGTGCGCCGAAAACCATAAGCCAACAGTGGTGCTCCCACACCGAGTTCATTCGCACATCAAACACAATCACACCGGCGAGCGTAGTTGGTCGGCAAAGTTGCAAGCCGAGATCACTAAGCTTCTCAGCACTTGTACGGTCAGCGCGGTTCCTTCTAGTATCCAAACCCCATTACCTTTGATCCCTGTTGTTCAGGGAAAGTACTGCCTGGGGTGTTGCCGTGTCTTTGAGAAAGACTTTACCCATAACGGGGAAGATAGGTGTGGCGACAACAACCAAGTACCCGTCGTCTGCCAATTTTATCAGCGTGGCAAGGCGGTGATTATTGGGTCCACGCCAAACGACCCTGACGGTAACAGTGACGACATCGCGGAAAATACAGTGCCTACGGGTGGGTCTATTCTGAACAAACCTAATGATAACATGGATGACGCTATGGTTAACAGTGCATCGACAATCATCAGTCACGACCGCGACGAGGATGAAGAGAATGCACCACAATTGGACATATTCACTCACCCAGAGACCGGATTATGTGTCTGTGCACACGGTCACAAACCGGTGGTTGTCCTTCCCAGCTACGTGCGTAAACATCTCCTGCGGAGACACATTGGCGCCTCCGAAAGTTTGCTTGCGCGAATTCGCCGTCGGATCCGCGAGTCCCCTGCCACCGAAGTCCCCCCTAACATTCAGACGAGGCTCCCCGCTATCCCTGTGGTCACTGCGAATTATTGTATCCACTGCAAGCGGACCTACATGAACAAGAAGAATCACAGTGAAACAGCAGATTGCGTTTCTACTCGTGTTCAATGTCAGTACCATAACAGATATCATACCGTGATCATCGGACGAATTCCAGATCGATCTGATGTCCGCGAAGTCATGGATGAGGATCCGGTAGACAGCGACTTGGATCTTTCTGACAGCGCGAGGGAGCTTTTCAGTCCCGAAAACTCTGACAGCGAGCCCATTGGCGTGAGGAATCCTAACGTGCCCACATCTGATCTAGAGACTTTCGGCAGAGAGCTTCCTAGTTCCGAGAACACCTACCTACAGCGCTCAGGTCCAGAACTGACCCAGATTGAAGCGGGCATAAACATCATGAAGCACACCGAAACCGGCCTATTTATTTGTGCTCACGATCACGACCCAATGGTGGTACTTCCTTACCAGATCAGCAACCACATCAATAGTCGGCATTCTGGCAAGCAGGGCGGCTCCAGAGAGCTACGGTCCAAGATTCGTGGTATTCTTCAGCGTTGCGCAGTCAATGGGATCCCTGCAAATATCCGAACCAGGCTCCCTGCTATACCCATATCCAGTGGGGAGTATTGTTTTGGGTGTTGCGAGGTCAATGGGGATTGGTCTCACGATGACAGCAAAGCCTGTAAAAACAACCGGCGAGTGCAAGTCGACTGTCAAATTTGCTACCCGAAAAAAGCCGTCGTTGTGGGACCATTGCCAGAAATCCCTCGTGATCGCCGATTAGGTGGCCATTGACTTCTGTGGCTAACGATTGTGAACTAGTCACACCGCTACTATAAGCTTGATAAACACCTAATGACAACTTATGATTGCTTACGAACCAACCAACGAAATTAATTTAGATAACGATAGATGTATTATATGGACAGAACTAACATGACTAACTTAATCACTGATCAAAGCAGCTAAGCAAGCTCATCGACTTTCCGCCCTCGAGATACCCCCAAGATCAGGCTGTCTCCCACGCTTGGCCAGCTGTATACTATTTAATGAGTAATTAGTAAGGCTTCATAGCTGAGCACACAGCAACCAACTATTTCATTGTTAGTTCTGTGTTATTTCCAAGTGCCGGTATTGGACCTTCCTTGCCTTGATGTCGATATACGATTGTCAATCACTATTGGTTTTTGATTGTTGGCGGACCGCTGATGTGATCCACCAGTTGTTTAGGTAATCACATCCATTTCGGTGTGCCGTCCGGTCAAGTGAGAGGCTAGACTGCACAAGAGCGCGACGAGCTATATGAACGTCGCGCGGTTTATAGAAAAGAACACATCTCTTACTACATCCAATCAACTCGACACTTTAACTAGCTTTCTCTTTACCCCTATTCCTGGAAGCTTGGTTATAGTCGACCGCATTGTGTAGATAAGACAACAATGACTGACTCAGTTAACAGCAACACGTCTCAACTGGAGACAGGTCAGGGACCTAAATCCCAACATTGATTAACCATCATTTTTATTATATTGGTCGTCACCATAGCCAATTATTACTCCAGGATTCTGATACTTCGGGTGGCAATTACTCTCCATGAATTAATCATTGTTAACCATTGAAGCAAGGCTTCACTCCACATAGCAAGGCGATAGCTTTGAGGATGAGAACTTGATTATGCATAATCAGTTTTAATGGAGCCAGACTTATTGCGATTGAATACTAGGTCTTTCGATTTACCTACTTGTATCCTGGATTGCTGATGTCAATCGCGACGTACAAATCATCCACGTTGTACCATTTGACGGGTCGACCCAACCATTCCAACCCCGTCACATTAATGACATTGAGTACACAAAGACGTTGGAAAATAATCTCAATATCAGAACATATATGGCTGAATAGCGGTTCAATCCCAGAATAATCGTAAGGGATTTTTCGATTTGAAAGAACTGCCACCGTTATATTGAAAATACTGAGAGAGTATCGACTGCACAAAGTAAAACCAAAACGAATAGAGCTGGGGGGCATCGATAGGGAACACGAAGATAGCTGTAGTTGAAGCGTAGTATCATCAGGAGGTTCAGGTACAATATTTTCAAATATTTTAGGCAAGTGGAATAACGGCGCCAACCAACAGAAACTTGAAGCGAAGGCTTACGTCGTTATTCATATCGACGATTTACCAAGCTACCTCCTATTAGTAAACCCATAAACAGGTTCCATACCACTGAGCTCATAAAACAACTCCCTAACTCTTTCATTTTGTGTCATGGGAGGCGTTGCGGGCGCAGGAATTGGCGTAAAGCTTGAGTTTGCACGGGTGGTCATGGGCGCGCACTTGATCTTGTTGTCATAGTGGCGAGCGATATCACAATAAGGCGTAGCTACTCAAGAGATTTTCGGAATATTTCAACCACAGAAGTTGGTAGGGCTTGACTTTGAAATAGGGAGGGCCAATAATGTACCCGGCTTAAACATCTTATACCGTCAGTAACTTTAGCTGGCCAAATACAATGCGGCGCACTATCCCCTTACTTTGATAGATTAGCTGATGCGTCATCTTAGCAACCCCCACAGTGCATCTACGGGGCAGCTCTCTGTGCAGGCACAACTTCTTACGTTGACAACTAGTCGTCGTGTGAGAAGCCTTTCCAAATGGTTGCTTTATCAATTGATCCCCTCTACCTGACTCATGTCACTACAGAAGGCTCAATAGTCAGAGTCCTGGGTAGCGTTTTAGAGCTGAGCATTTGCCATTAGGTGCGACGTCTTAACAGTCTGTTATAAACATGGAGGGAGAAAGAATTTTAATGGTGCAGTATTTGCCATCAAAGTTGGTAAAGATGCCAGCACAATTGTTAAACTGTTTCTCTGCAATTTCTTCGACTCGAGGCCACTGAATGTGTCCTACGTACAAGTTTGACCAGTTGATGACTCATAGTGAAACGCAAATGATTCATGACTGTTGAATCATTGTGAAGCTCAATTGTTTTGTGTACAGTCTGAAGCTTTATATTGCACCAGTTTGTCGCACTCTATTTTCCTTTTCCAACAACCGCCGCCTTCCTAAGAATGGACAGTGATACCATCTCCATACTGGACAACGAATCCATCATTCTAAACAACCCACCAACTTCCGAAGACGAAGTATATCCGTGGGTTGTTAAAAATCTCAAGATTATGAAGAGGCTGTTGAAGATGATTTTGGAAAACGATTACTTGGAATGTGACGGGACTTTGGAGGATTGGACAGCTCATGAACTTGTTCGTAATTTCAAGACTATACCTGAGTGCATGGAGTGGGCTGAGGAAATACTAAATATGGATTGCGAAGAGGAGGCCCGGATTTTGCTATGTCTGGACGAGCTGGACCTGAATAATGAGCTGGACTTGGACCTGGACTATGATCTTGGAGAAAATTTATGAATGAAACAGTCGCTTCCACTAATTAAACCAGCCATAAATTGTATTACCGGCTGCAATGATGTCTTCAATCAGTGTTTAGCAATATATGAGCTGCGCAATTATTGAACTTCAATTCCAATGTAAAGTGGAAATCCCTTTAACGCTTAGAAATCATGTCTTCAGTAGCAGTGATACACTCTTTGAAAAACTGCGTATAGGTCTCTCTTTGACCTCTAGTCATTGTTGCAATCGCTTCTTTGATGTAGATGTCAAGGTCAATCTCGGCTTGGTGAATCACCTGTAGATAGTGGCCTCCATAAATGCCATCATTAGTGACCAGAATCCATCCGTCGTGGCTGCGTCGACAGGCGTCATTAATGGCCCCTTCAAACGAAATCTTGAGCCAGTTGATTGCGATGTCAGCGTGTTTCCATGCTCGTGCAAGCCACCCGAGGTAATGACGAACCACGCCGTTTTGGTTAAGCGAAAATCTGGTTTCTCTCATGCGTTCTTTAAACACATCATCAGCACGAATGGTATTTTCATCAACAACATTGCGGAGAGCGTCATGTTGATCACGAAGGATGAGCTCGAGCCGTTTGCCAAGCTGTTTGTAGGCTTGGGAAATGATAAATTCAAGGCACTGGCTTTTGGGAAACTCAATCGCGTTGAAGATTGGATCATTGTTAGCCTCAACTCGTAATCTATGGCACTCATTCTCCACTTCGAGCACCGCCTTGAGGTGTTTGTGGAGACGATTTCCCACCTCATCGTATGCTTCATGCACAAGTGAATTGATTGATGGAGGAGTTTCCAGCGACATTATCACGTTTGAAATATATTGATCAATAACTTCTTGCTTCGAGTGAGACACTTGACCGGGGCTCTCACTGCTCAAAAAACCGTAGAGAAAAGTAAATGTTGAAAGTCGTCACAAAGATTTCATTAATGGAAAGCTTCCAATAAGTGTAAGAGCCATCAGTTTTCGTTTGATATATATCAAATTTCAATATCAATTGGACTTCAATGGATATTTAACAGCTGGTAATATCACAGGCGAGGCTCATGCCACAAAATCACGATGACAGGAATAGGAAGGTAAAACGACTGGACCTCATTGGAGACAAATTTGATAAATTGCCTTGAAATCATCATCTTCAACGCATTTGTTAGACAATTGGAATGTTTCACTTCATCAGTTTTGGTAGCACTTAAGGGGTATTGTGTTAGTTCTTGGTACTCTGCGATGGGATGCCGCCTCGATTTTATCTTTGTGGGGAATAAGTGCGAGGCTGAATCGGGGACCCTCGGTAAACGAGACTCGCAGAGAAATGTAAAAAATGGATATGTGGCGGGTTAGTTTTTTTGTAATCAATCATCAAATTAAAGTCTCCATAATTCAATAGTATCTTCTGATTTATTATTCACTATAATTGTTGTCTCAGTCTCTAATTTCCTCGGCGTTACAGTTCCTTATGATGCGACATCAACCCCACCTGCCTTAGCGCGCCAACAATAACCATTGTCCGTTATGACAGAAAGTCGATCCCTTTCTGGTCTCCCGTTCTTTCCTCAGTGAAGTCAATTGACTACCTACATCGTCTACAAAGTGGTTACAGTTTCTCATTTATCACATACATTATTTACGGGCTGGTCTCGTCGCCCGGGTATCATACATCTCGGTACCCTTTGAGGGTAGTGTCGCCAACGTTACTGTTGGGGTTTAATCTGAGCTTATCAAGCAATTGAGTCAACTTCAATGGCGTACGCTTGTGGGAAGGGCAGCTGGCCTGGATGTCCGTAGCCGTGCAAGAGCAATTGCCGTAACCTGGTGACATTGGTCCCACTTCCACCGCGAAAGACTCCATGGGTAACTTGCTCTTCAGTCCTAAGTGAGGTACCACTTTCGGGCTATTGAAGCTGTGGGATTGCTTCCGCATGGGCTCATCTTCTGCCAATGAATCCAAAGCCGTCGTGGTTTCGGAGTCAGTGCTTGGAATGCTATTGTCGATGTTGACGTTGGTGTCGCTCAGAGGCACTTGCTTATCTTGGTCAATAACGCTTTCCGAGTTTGCGCTTACACAACCCAGTTCAGATGGCTCCAGCTTCTCAAAAGTGGTAATAAGCAGTTGCTGCCCAATGACAGATTCTTCAGCGAAATTGTCGTCATCCACCACGCCGTCATCCATGCTCATATCGCGAGTATCCAAAAAGCTGTCGATTCTATGAATGGCGGCTTCATTGCAACTGCTGTTCTCATTAACCAACAGACTTGGCAATGTAACGTTAATGCCACCATCACCAGGAGTCTTCTTCTCCTTAGATTTTGCGTCGTCGACAAGTAGTTGAGTCTGAATCATTTCATTTTGGTGGCAGTCAACTTCAAAAGTGGCGTTAGCCTTTAAACTTGGTCCATTGTTGTTGGCGGCTTGTTCAATTTGAAGCCCGGCTTTGTTACCACTGATCTTAGGTTGAGGGCGCTTGTTCAGTTCTTTAGCCTGTTGCTCTTTTTGAGGTGTCGCCGGTTCCGAATTATCGTCTCCAATGCTGTTGTCGTTACTCGCTGGTGCCGAACTGAAGCTGGTATCGTTTTGGCTGCCGTTGCTGTTGCCGTTGCTGTTGCCATTGCTGTTACCGTCGTCGTGGCTCGTGGGTTTTTTCGCCTTCCGCTTTTGCTTGCGTTTACGCTTTCCTTCGGCGGAGGGTTCGGTTGGCTCGTCGTTGGATGTTGATTGCCACTTTATCTTGTTCCCAAACTTGACGTATTTGAGAAGCAGCTCAACTTCAGGGATGAGTTGATCGTACAACGTTGACACTTGTTCACCCCTTTCATCGTCATTAACTTGGGTGATGGCTTTGATCATGGTCTTGCAATTCGACAAGGTGGATTTGATCCCACGACACAACGCCTTATTCTTCTTGAGAAGTACAAGCATTTCGGTGATGGCATCCTTGACTTCCGGAGACATTGGGGCATTGTTCAAGATTAGTTCAAGCTCCGACTTAAGCTCATTGATTTCACCTTCAAGTTGTTTCTTAGTAGTCTTGAGCTCAGCAATTGCCACCAGGGCAACATCGGCGGGGTTCACATCCTGATCCAAGATACCATGTCTAAGTTCAGCAATGAGTTCATCCTTCTTTTTCATTTCAGCCTTTAACTCAGCAATCTTGTTGCGGTTGGCGTTGTCGTCTAACTCCACCATTGTTTTGTGGAAGTCGTGAATTTCAATTGGCTTTTCATGATTGACATTGCTTTTATTGCCATTCGTAAGTTCAACAATGCCATCAGCCTTTTGCTTGACAACAGCCTCAAGGTATTCAATATGATCAGCTTGTTCTTTGGTGACTTTCTCGAGATTCGCAATCAAGTCGTCCTTGCTTTCGTTATCGGCCTGGATCTGAGCAATCTGTTTAGCATGTTGCTTGTTGACGACTTGAGCTTGCGCGATCATTCCAACCTTCTGCTTGTTGACATCCTTGAGATTCGCCTTCAAGTTTTCGTTATCACTCTGAAGCTGGGCAATCATGTCATCTTTGATACCGTTATCAGCTTGAAGATGAGCAATTATATCGGCCTGCCGCTGGTTGTCCACATGGAGCTTGGTGACACCTGCCTGGTAACGGAAGTCATTTTCAGAAATCTCCTTGTGGAGATTGTCAATGCCTCTCTGTGTGATGATTAACTTCCTCTCGACATTGATAATATTCTGACGCAACGTGTTGTTTTCCTTTTCCACGGCTTCACAGGTGTTGTTGGCGAGTTTGAGCTTCAACTTAACTTCACCCAATTCTTTTTCAATACTCGCCCTTTTTACCTCCAGAGCCAGAAGCTGTTGAGACTTCTCAACTGTTGAAACGTCTGTATTTACACGAAAAATTTCAAGCTTCTGTTTTTCGTACTCGTTGAAGGCCTGTTCGAGATTACCAGCTGCATTTTTGTCATAAATGTGCTCAAAACTGAAGCCATCCGCGCTATTGTCACCAGCAGCACAAGATTCAACACTCTTATAATTGGTTAACTTGTTTTTGCTTACAACAACAACGTTATCAACACATGCTGTCGCTGTTTTAAGGCTCTCTGGCTCGCTATCAGCCACCAATGTACTTTCACAACTAACGTCGCCTTCATGGTCTTCAATAACGTTAAAACCGCTATTATTTGCTTCCGTCAGTCCGTCATCCACGATAACTTGTTCAGGTGTTTTTTCTTGACGCTGCCAGCAGCTACCTCCCACCAGGAAAAGTGGTCCAAGAATGAAGAGCAAAACGCTGGCGCAAACAACATGAAGCAACGCTATACTCTTTTCGTCAAACACAGTGATGTCGAGACTAACGGGAAAACGCATCCAGACCGAGTGAGCCAGATTGGTTATATTCGTGAGCGTCCCCTGCCCTGCATGCCAAATTAAGTAGCGCAAGCGATGCAAACTACTTATCACCGCCATAATACTGGTACAGGCCAAAAGCATTGCTAGCGTTTGTTTTGCCTCATTGATAGAAATGATCCAGCGGTTTCGGTGCGTTTGGAGAAAAGCTCCAGTTACCCACAATACGGACGCTAGCAAAACAAAGATGCTGCATCCGTGGCGGACAGCAAATAGTGTTGTGAGGATCAGAGTGATTAAGCGTGTGAGACACCAACGGCGACCGTCAGCAATGGCGGGGCGATAACAACCCCACACCATGACCCACATCGTACACGCCATCACGCATCCTTTCACTAGGAAACCATGGGTGATATTGTTGGCAACAGGTAACTGCCACCCCAACAACACCAGTAATGACATGGCTATGACGTTCACAAGGCCCTGAGTGCTAGGCCATATAAACATCATTGTGCACTGTGAGGTGTTGTGAAAGAGAAAAAAAGTGCGGAATGGAAAAAAAGGCTCTATAGGCTTATGGCGTGCAGACAAAGCTAGCACCATTGTCTATAGGCCGGACACTGCAGTATAAGCCTAATACACCTTAAACATGATAGTTGGAATCAGTTGAGAAAAGCTACTCTGAATATTGAAGCTTACGGTGGTTTAGATATCTGAGATGCCTGCAGATCTCGCTAATATCGATCTGGCCAAGATCTCCGCGGGCGTTTGCCATGGCGCATTTGCTCCTTGTTTGATGGTCTAAGGCGCTACGCCGCGCCGCAACCGCACAACACGTCAACACCACTGAAAAAGGGGAACACCTAATCTGGTAAATTGGATACGGCTATTTGATCTACTCTGCTACGTCTTGTTTCACAAACGTATCCATCGTTTAGCGGTAAAGAGGCCCATATATACGCCTATACACCTCAAGGCTGAAAACTCCTAGTTTGGTTTTCAAACTTGTTGTCGTCGTTGTTACTACCGTGGGGCGTGGTAGGCGATGGTCGCGCGATGCTATGTGCGAGGGGTTCACTAGTGATATATAAACTTAAGCGACCTGATAACGTTTATAATCCAGTCTTAAACCTAAACCATCTTGTTTGAGGTTAGTGTTTGATTAATATTCTGCAACTTTGTATAAACCACCGCAAATTTCAAACGTATTGACTGGTTCCCAAAAACCACTTGCTGGGGTAGTCATAGAGTATCAAACAGTACTATTAGTCGGTCTGCAATCAATCAAATATAACTTAAAATGACATTGCGGTGTCAATCATCTTAAAATTTACGAGTAAACCTCAAGATCTCAACCTCCATAAGTTGACCATCATTCACTGAGGCTCGAGGAACGGGGGGATTGAATAGTAAGGCAATCTTTGAGAAGAAGCTCATGATAAGTTTTTGCATATCTAATTATTGCAGAGTATCATAAGCTTGGCGTGGGAAGGAGTACCGATGAAAGCAGAGTGACTGGGAAGAAAAGCATATGAAGTAACCATAACTCATGATTCAGGGAAACTCAGATGTATATGTTTTTCTATCATTTGAAAGCAATTCAAATCAGAAAAGGGTATCACAGCTTCTGCATATTCTCTTGATTACTATGCTTGTCAGTTTTTGGTGCCGTCGAAAGTAAACCCTAGCCGAAAGCAAGGATAATCCTGATGATTAAGCTCAAATTCCATTTGAGAGTTCATCTAATTTTAGTTTGTAAAGTTGAAGTGTTTGATTGTTTCTTCATTAGAATCATGGTCGCTGGGTATCAATCTGGACTGGAACACGGGTTGCCTTCATGACATTTTTGGATATGGCGTAGCAAACTATACCGCCGAGAAAATTGTCAGTAACAACTGCCACTTTGGAATAGTTCTCTTTTTATGTTGATACGCTCGTGGCGTTGTCGGTGCTTTTTTTTATAAACGCTCCGTAAACATTTCAAACAAAGTATGCACATAGGGATACCAATGAAACCCCCCCACCTGAAATTTTCATTAAACTTTACCTCAACCATTCATAAAGCGACTTGGCCATATATCTATAAATGTGGCGGCGTGTTGGCTTACTTCTATCACCGAGAATGTGTTGTTTGACTGAGAAGAGAATATATAAAGTCGTCATTGATAAACTTTCATCTTCAATTGTCTGATGTGACGAATCAGCCGGAATACCGTTGACCTAGTGCTACGCTGGTGCTAACAGCCCCATAGCCAATCATCAAGTGGCTCCCAACACTCCCGCGTCCAGCTTTATGAGTACAGCCGTGGGATAACCTCGGAACAAGTAAGTTTAAGAAAATTGGAGCTTCAGAAAAAGGTTTTCATAATTGCAGGCTTCTAAAAACACCTACAAAAAAAGTTTCCTCTTTCGATAATTCTAGATGACCATTCAGAGTTGCAACTGCTCTAGTGACGTTTGAGAAAACATTAGAATGTCCAAAAAGTCCTGCTTTGCCATCAAGTAGGCATGATACTATGGGTACAATAAAGGACGGAGTCGTATGATCAATTAGGCTCATAAATATTAATTCATTTCACGTAGCTAAATTGTCAGTGAATTTGGGTTTTGCCACCGATAATTATTGCGATGTGAAAATGTATTGGTAAGGTTGAAGCGGGATTGGAATGACTCTAATAATCTATGAATAATCGTGACAACGGTAATCTTATAACGAATAAAACTAGGCACTAGTTGCTTGTTTCACAAGGCGTTACGTACTTCCTCTCGTGCTATCGTATGTACTGGAATTTGTGGTGAGCCTCCTGCACGCTACATTATTTTCGCGACTGCACAAATTTTCCCAAAGGCTGCACTTCTCATATGTGAAGAGACTGCACTAAAGACGCTTACGTAATTTTGTGCGTGTATGTATCAAGCTTACGCGCCACACATAAGTGCGTGCACTGGAGTGATCTGCGATAAAGATATGACTCGGAAATGTACCAAATTGAGGTGTCTATTGTAATGAATTTACTCTGGGCTGCGCATGAGACTTTTAGCTGAATTATCACAACATTTCAATCTAGTTGGACGGACCGTTTATCTGCAGACACAGAGGCATTTGCAACCACCTACCAATTTAGAAATTAAGGTTGTATGCGAGATTGATGTGAAGTAAGTGGGGGTACCTTTTGTGACATGCTTGTAGATCTATAGTTTTAGGTTACAATTTTGTAATACAAAATCCAAAGCTACAGTTTATTCAAATTACACACATGATAACTAAAAATTCAACCAAGACTAAGTTCATTCTTCACGTTGCCGTCAGGGATCGCCGACGTGACCCTAAAAAGCATCACTTACTGGAACTCGAACCATCATGGACGCTTCTTCCCACAATGACGCCAATTCTGGATCAGCCGTGAAGTCAAGGAGAGTGGTGGCGTTGTCGACAATCATGACAGCTTCCCGTACGATAGAAAGGGGAAATGCTGGGTGCTTCAACAAGTCGCAGAAATAAATGTGGAAGCCAAGGCAATAAGTGTTCTTGACCTGTTTGATTTGGTTTTCAACTTCCCAAAAACAAGCACAAAGTTCATGGCGCTTTTGCTCGGTGAAGTTAGGGTTTTCCTCCGTTTCCCAGTAAAACGTATTAAGAATCCTGTGTATATTCAAAGCAAGAGGGATCCACTGAAACAAAACGATGGGTAAAGAATCGTTAGTATAATTTATGTTAGACATATAGTGGAACAACTTCATCAACTTGAGCAGACGACGAATATCGCGATTAGTGTCATAGACCAACTGAGCGAACTTGTCGTTATCGTCCCCAACACCCCCATGTTGCTTGCAAAAGTCGGCATCGCTCAAGGGAAACTCGTTGTGGTAAATATCGTCAAGACTTTCATCTCTGTGTTTTACCATCTCGTAGTACAGCAGCATGAACCCCCACAAGCGCTTCCGGTCTTCCCGGGTGGGAAGTTTCCCCAACAACTGTTGATAAGCGGGCAGGCTGAAGATGGCGCCAAGCTTCATGACTAATAGTGGTGTCAACAAAAATTTTGCGCGCGGCCCCCCTTATTTATACCAAAATTTGGTGAGTAATAATAATAAACAGTTTTGCGACATCGATGAGGAGGAATAATTTTGGGCCTAACATTTTGAACAATGTAAGTGGAAAATAATCCATCTACAGCTTTTATCACTAGTTACTGAAGGTTGAGGTTCCCCGGGGTGTGGGTCACGCTTCTTCGGTGTGAGCACGCCATGAGGAATCTCACTTCGAGGAACCCTTTAGGATTGAGCGACGTTACAAAACATGGTCAACAATCCCTTACTTTAAGACTGTCAGCCATTAAAACACTCGCTACCAATTGCTCTCATGGCCGGTGAATTAATACACAGTATAAACTTTTACAATCGGAACCACTTTCTCAGTACTTCTAAAAGATATACAAATTTGAGAAAATCCTGTGACGAGCCTTTAGTTTTAGTCTCGATAGTTATCGTTTGAAGTAGTATGGTTCATTGTAGATTCGTTAATAGGCTATATAATTAATGGGGGCGTCTGGCTTGCGCTTCTCTAAACACCTGGTGGATCTCGTGCTTCAGCATCGCTGTGTAGTCAATGTCGGGATAGTTTTGCCGCATCACCAGCGCCAATCTCGTGAAGATATTGACGTACTCGTTTTCCAAGTCCAGCCACAAACGGGCGACGAGATCTCTTTCGAAGTAGTCGATGCCCAAATTGAAGCTGGCGTCGAACAGCTGGAACGTCACTTGCGCCCGTTCCAGCAACTGGCGATGGTTGTAGAAATGTACCAACGCCTGGACACTCTTCTTATTGTACTTAGACGGCTTACCGTGCTTTTCGTGGGCAACGATAAACTCAATAAGCTTGCCGATCAGCTGGTGGAGGAACATGGCAAAGTACTTTGATTTAATCTGGTTGAATACCAGATCAAAGCGGGCCACCATCCGGTTAATCAGTTGACCTTGTACCTGGCGTAAGGAGTCAATGAGGAAGAACACATTACGCAAAATCGGCACAAGTCGCTGGTGGCGTTGGTGGTCGTCAAACTCCAGCAGCTTCAACAACGGGTCCTCGCGAAGAAACATGTGGACAAGCAGTTCGGTGGCTTCGTTATAGGTGGAGTCGATCAACTGTCTCACCGACGTGTCTGCTAAATGTTTAGCGTTGGCTACCGACCGCTCGGTGGCCATAATCAAGTCGTTAGCAGCTCTCACCCCAGGTAAAACTTCAGGGTTGACCACGGCGGCAGTGACGGCAGCAAACTCAAAGTGGCTACTGAAAAACTTACGCCACTGCGACGTCAATTTGTCAATCACCCGCTTGTAGAAGTTGTAGACCACATACTCCTGATTGGGCTTGGAAGCGACGACTGATTGCCAGTGCTCCAAGTGCACCAAGATCTGAGGAATGCGGTAGTCAATCGGGTTCACCAGTTTGATAAACGTGTTGATATAATTGCCGAAGATAGCCGTCATGTTGGCGATGACGTCACGAGTGTCGTAGGCAGCGGTATCCAACAGCATCACCGTATCCAAGTCGATGTTGGTCCCCAGGTACTTATCGGCAAACTTGCGCCGCTCTTCCAACGGGTGGGTGCCCAAATACTCCTTAAAGTCAAGAGCGTCCACCTGCGACGTGTAGTGGAAGAATGTCCCCACAAAGAACTGGGTGATGCCGATAACATCTCTAGCTTCGTCTATCAACTGGGTCACCACCATCGGGTCGTCGAGCTGGCCTGGCTTTGCCTTTAAGAAATCAGCCTGTGGCGGTGGCGGGATGTTGGGAGACAGAGGGATCAGTGCTGCGGGCTGGAGCGGGGCCGTATCGGCAATCGTCTCCATCGTCGGCAGTCTCAGCATCCCCAGCAACCGCTCACGGTCTCTGAACTTCAGTCTGAGCTTCTCCTTTCTCAGCATCCGCAACGTACGCCCCTTCTTTAAGGGGTTGTTGTCAGCCACCACCAGCAGCGTCGGCAGCGAGATCGGCAGGTCCTGCGTTTGCAGACCAACGCCACCGGTCCCGGCTTGAGCCTGTTTTGCCTCCACCTGGGTCAATTTGCGGATGAAGTTGCGCTCCAACGACCGGCCCATGTGTTCGTTGAAGTACTGGTTCAACGCGTAGACAGTACTGGGCAGCAACTGCTTACAGAAGTAAGTCAACGCCGAGTATACCAATAAGTCCACAGCCAACTGGTTCACCATCGCCACTTCAATCACCCCCAGCATTCCTGGCTGAGCGACATTATGGCCCATTAAACCAGCCATTGACGACGGGGCACTCGCCCTGAAAAGCAGCTCCATCTTGTGCTGGACAAACCGGGCGAAGTTAGTGGCAAACCGTTCAATCACTTCGTCGTACTGCAGCTCGTACTCCTTGAGCGCCAACATCGTCCCCTCACCCTGAGCTTCAGGATTGTTATCCTGTTTCACCGTTTGCACGGCTAGGTACAAGTTCTCCAACTTCCGCTCCAAGTTTGGCAAAGTTTGTTTCCACTGGTCAAAGTGAGTGAAGTTAGCGATCTCGGCAAGGTCTTGTTGGTTGACATTGACCTTCTCAAGGATATCTTTCAACGTGGTGTAAAGCGTTTGCTGGTTGGCAAACTTAAGTTGTAACCCTTTCAGTTGGTGGTCGACGTCGTTGATTTGCGGCAAGAGAAGTTTGAAGTCGAGTTCCATGCGTTTAAAGATGGTCAGCAAATGGTCCACCTCCTCGGTGGCAGTAGTGACTTCCTTGGCCACCAGCAGATCGGAAAAGGCATCAAAATTCAATAATTCGCGTACGTTTTTCAGTTTGACGTCGTGGAGTTCCCCTTGAAGTTTACGTAAAAGGTCCTCAGAAGTATCGGTGATCCCCCACTTGATTTCGTCAAACAACTCGTCGATTTCAGGGTCACGGGGCCCCTTCTTCACTTGTAGTGACGGGGTACCCGCGTCAAAGATATCCGCAGGGTGAGTGCGTGGAGTCACCGGACCGGGGGTAGTATTAGCCGTGCTGTGTCCTGCTGCCCCGTCCTCCTCTTCAAGCTGTCTGAGCTTAGGAGTGGTCATTGACCCCTTATCGTCAGTTGGAGAAAGACCACTTTCAGCACCGTCAAAGGCAAACTGCAGTCCCAAGAGATTCTCAATCTCCTGAATCGATGTATCCAAAGCATCAGTGTTCACTGGACCCGGGCGTACGTGAGGTGGCGGTACAAACGGCAGCGTAGGGGCGGGGGGCTGAGCCTGTCCTTCCAACTGGTCCAATGCCCTCACTCTCTGGTCGCTCTGCTGACGACGATGTCCCCTATCGCTGTGACGGCTAGTCCGGCGTCTCACTGACCCTTCAGTGTCGTCCTCCTCTTCATCATCGGTGATATTACCGTCTTGTTGTTGCAAGGGTGATCTGGGAGGTAACTGGGCCCCAAACGCTTCCACCGCTTCCATCAGACGATGGCTGTTGCGAAGCTCATCAAATCTAGTCTTAATGGGCAGTCTCGGGTGGGCGGACGCCCCCTCGGACGACGCGGTCAGCCGGGCCAGACGCTGAGAGAAATACAGACTGCGGTTGCCGGGACGGTTTTGCGGGTGGTCGTCGCGGATATAGTCGTGAATCAGATGCATCAGCGACTCCTTAGGTACGGTGGGAGTGAAATTAAACATGGACTCGTCGTCGGCAGCAGTCGTATCCTGGGAGGGGGGTGACGCTGGTATCGGTTGTTGCAGCACTGATGTTTGATGCACGGATGTTTGTCCATACGGGTGGCTTCGATTTGTAGGCGGTTGTCGCGGTGACCCCATCAGAGTAGCGTTAATATGTTTAGAACCACCGGGAGGAGCAAATTCATCGTCATCGTCCGGAATATCGTTAAGATCAGGAGCACCGCTACCAGAGGGTTGGGAAGCGAACGCCACTTGCGACCGAGGCGGAGGCGCCTGCTGGTGAGCTTGGCCAGTCATTACCGCGGGGTTAGGAGCAATAGACGACGCCACTGACGGTTTTCTCGAGTCGTTGTTGATGTCATTACCGATAGGGATGGTCACTGGAGTCCGGGGAAGGCGCAATTCTGCTTCAGTGATACCGCCCAATATCGGGTATTTACCGGTATAGGAACCGTAATACAGAGCAAGGGCTTTGATAAATCGCGTCGTGCGGTCCGGTCCCTCAGCCACTTTCCAGTAGTAGTCCTTATTAAGCGTCAAAATCACTTCGTCGGGAGCGATCCGTTTAATCCCCCTTAATTCCTCCATATCCCACGTTCTGCCAATCTGGTACAAGTTCTTTTGCTCGTTAAACTTCCCTTTTTGGATCATAATCCGCCCCAGAGCGTGGCGGGCGCAAATGACAAGCACACGGCTCTTAACGGAACCAGCCGCCGTTCCCGGAGGCGGCGGCGTCAGCGGGTAGTGGCTATACTCTTTAATGAGGGTATGCGTCAAGTAGTAAGTCTCCACTACCCGTTTGCCGGCCACCATCGTCAATTTTGAGTAAACGTCGTGGACCAACTTGTCGGCAATATATTTCCGCCCGTGGACGGGGTCCAGCGCCATCAATTGTTGAGGGTCAAGCGGCGCTTGCGGTGCCGGCAGTGGCGCGGTGGGAGTAGCGAAGGAAGCAGTCGAGGAGGCGGCAGTATTGCCGCCGCCGCTCATTCGGGTGGCGTACGGGTGGTGGGCGCCGCCATGGGTCCCGTGGACGGCGGCGGCGGCGGCGGCGCCCTGGTGCGCCATTGATTGTGACGGCGCTGGCGCCAGCGCTGGCGCCATCAGCGCCATCGGGGCGCCGGGCGCCCGCGGCAGCGCCGTGGTCCCTCGAGGGATAGAGCCACCACCACCACCGTTCCCACTCGTCTGACCCACTGGGGGGATCAACGGAGAGTATTGCTGGCGCGGCGGCGTGTGGACGTAGCCATTGCCCACGGCATTGGCGCCGGGGGGCGCCAGCGGCGGGAGGGGCAGTTGTCTCGCCGGCGCCTGGCCGTAAGGGTTAGGCGCGGGGTGCGCCGCGCTGCGCCCGGCGCCGGGAGTGGCGTAGGGGTTCGCCTGGCCCACCGGCGGACGATTACCACTGCGCGGGGTTCCATTATTGCCCCGATACATGGCGTTTTTGGCAGGGGGGTTTTGGTATGGGCGGTGTTGTCTGTGGAGGGTACTGAGATCGCGATTGCCCGTGATTGTATGCAGGAAAACAAGGCTGTGAAGAAAGTGAAGTGTACAGCGTAAGGCCAGCGAAAAAACAAGCGATCGAGTCGCAGTCTAACAATGTAGTGAATGAAACCAATAGTGAAACCAGTAGTGAAACAACCTGCGAAACAAAACACAGAATTAGTAAGAACCTAACAGAAGCTTCTTATCAAATTGGTTAAAAGCATATATCGGTCATATTTTTGTTTACCTCTCAAATAGCCTTACACTGATAGCCAGAGCACCTTGATTGAAAAATATTAGTTACTAAACGTAATTAGCACTAGTTATACCATTGACTACCATTTTATTCATAAACTAGATGCCATTGTTTTATCCAAAGAAGGCCAGCAAGAAACGTCTAAATGAGAGAAGCAAGTGGTGGCTATAGTATACGTTTAAGTCATCGAAGGTAGAGATGGACCTAAAGTGTATATAACTAACTGAGTAGATACAGTTCGTACACTACTGTGCTAGGCTCAATCCTTACAATACTATGTTCTCTAAGGTTAATGTAAATTATCTATAAGCGCTTCTTTTTCAAGTTGACGTTCATGTTGAAACCATAGTAGCCCAACGACTCCCACACCCGGTCGTCGACTTTCTTTGGAAGTTTCCGTCCGTAGAGACACTGGTCAATCAACCACATCCCCACGAGAAACTCCAGTTTCGTCAACGTGCCGTCGTGGCGGAAATCCACTTTCAGCCAGATTTGCTCGAGCGTTTGGTCAGGTAGTCTCAGCCGTTTCCAGATCCGTTTCACCACTGCTGCCACCATTAACTGGTCGATATCAACGTGGTCTAGACCATGGATATCACGCACTTCGTCCACTTCCAGCGATGCTCCCAAAGCAGCGACGAGACTAGGATCGGCTTCAGTCTCGCCACTGATCACGGGACGATTACCTTCGTAATCGACGCCCCGGAGTCGAGTGACCATACACCCAACGTACAGCCCTCGATTCAGCACCCACACCCCTTCGTACCGTTTCCTTTCTTGGTCGGAAAGGTAATTAAGTTCGGTGTGGTTTTTCCACGGCTTATCCTCGTTGAACGAGAGCTTCTTCTCCTTACGCTTATTGGTCTTGCGCATCGTCTTTTTGAACGCCACCGGTTGCTGGTTGAACGGAGGAGCCGTCATCGACGGCGACAGCTCAGTATCGTCCTCCAGGTCGTCGGCGTCGCCAATATCGCTAAGCAGAAGCGGTTCAGGGGCTTGGGCTTTCTCGTGTTTCTTTTTACGTGAAACATCAGGAAACCGGGGAAAAGGGGTGGGCACTGGCAGTGTAGGCTGTACGCTTTCGCCATCAGAAAAGGCACCGTGGGTCAGTGCTCCCAGAGCTACTGCCAGCTCCTGGGGAGGGGGTTTCCGTTTCGGTGGTGGGTGCAGTAATGGCAACAGAATATGGTCAGACATCAGCGTCAAGCCATAATCAAGCAGCGAGCGAGGCAGCAGCAGCACCAGCGGGTTCTCCAGGAGCGTCAGCATCGCCGGAGCTAGCACGGGAAGCGTATGGGGAGCAGCCGCAGCAACGCGGTCGGTGGCTGCCGCCAGCGGGACCAGCACCGGTTGCGTCGTCAACAGCTCCGTCAGCAGGTCTAAGCGACCTATGGGCCCCAAACGAGGCAGGATGGGGAGGGTACGCGACGTCGCCCTCACCACCAGCAGCCGTGTCAGCAGCGGCGTCAGCCCGTGTTCGCTGACGACGATCTGGGGGGCGTTATCGGGGCCCAGCTGGCAACTGAGGATCAGCAGTCCCTCGTCGGTGGTCAGGGACGAGCTGAACACGCGTTCCTGGTGGGCTAGTTGAGGGTCCAGTAAGTTTCCTAAACTCTCAAATAAGCCGACATTCTTAGCGTGTTGCGCCCAGAGATCATTAGTATCGGGTTTAGCCACGGGCGTGCTTACTCGCTTAGCGTCTACCGACAGTCGGAAATCAGCTAATCGTTGTAGGCCTTGATTATTAGTCAGCGGTTCCGGCGCTCGTTTCTGCAGCTGGGTTTGGAGGGTAGTCTTTAGCAGTTTGATCATCTCCTTGGGGTCCAAATTCTGCAGCAATCTTTTGGACAGAGTATCGGGCTGTGGTTGTAAGTGGTTCAGGATCAGCTGCTTCACGTTCTTGATCATATCCTGAGACAGTATCGGCAGCGGCAGGCGAATTAAGGAATGGGTCAGCTCCAGTCGCGTGAATTTGGGCGTCATCATCAGCTGGGTGGTGGTGGGCGTCGCTTGAGGGCTGGCCGGCAGCTCTAAGGGGGATGTATCGACGGTGAGCCCCGTGTGTGCCAGCGCCAGACGAGGGAATGTTGGTTTGGATAAGGGTTGTCCCAAGTATGAAGCAGGACGAGTCTGGTATTGGTGTTGTTGCTGTTTCTCGTGTTCCACCAGTGCCGTGGCAGCGGCAAGGGCAAGACTGGTGCTATTGCCCACCAACGAATCGGTGGAGCTAGCCGGGGAACGGGCACTTATCGACGGAGATTTTAGCGTCGGATTAGTGCTGGCGCGATTAACATAAGGGTTAATGGGAGGTTGGGCTCGTAGCTGCGGCAGCGTCGCCGCCTGGTGGAGCGTGTGTTTCACGGGGGCTGACGTCGAAAGCTGGGGCAGTCTCACCTGCAGTTGAGGTTTTATCGGCACCGGTTGCGGTTTGATCGGCATCTGGTGGCCGGTTTTCGGTACCGGCAGCGATATTTGAGGGTACACCAACGGCTTGGTTTGCGGGTCATTTGGATGGTTTAAGCTCTGAGTAACTCGTTTCAGGGCAATCAGGGCCGTGTCCGACCGGGACTGAGGCAGCCACGGGCTCAGCAGCGGGGTGGTGGTCGCCAGCTTCCCCTGAGGCTTAGGCCGCCCTCTGGGAGTCCGGGACGCCTGGGGCGCTACCAAACCACTGCGGGCGTCCCCTGGCTGGTCGGGCAGTTTGCTGAGCGCCTTGAACGCCAGCAACGCCGCGGCGTGGGCGTTGGAGGTCATGGTGGATGGCGGCGGCTTCGTGGATGGGGGTGTGGTTACAACAACCGCGCCACGGTAGGAAAACGCGGTGAGCGCGGCGCTACCATGAAACGGCTACCAGGATAACGACTAACTAACCAGGTATATGGTGGTAATCTTAAGCCAGTAAATGATGGTATACGTTTCATGTTGGTGGTATACTGGTGTAGCATGCTCGATATCGATCTATCGACTTAATACCGGTTAGTTTGCTTAGCCTAAGTCTAATGGGACGTCGATGGGCGGTGACGTCATCAAGGGGGCTCACACCCTCGATGACCGGCGCGACCCGTTGTGCTAACACTCATTTTTTTTCGCGTCGTGGGTGCGCCACGCTTGCTAGCCCCGTGCGAAAACCCCCGACGCTTGCTGCCCCCCCACCCAGCGGGCGCCGCTACGGTACCCATGCGCGCGATGCTTGCGCCCACGATTGCTAGCAAAGGACAGTACCGCTCCCAGCGTATACGACGACCACTGCGCACCTACGTCAACCGGCTCTATGCTTGCGGTGGAATACGCACAGATGACGCCAGCCGTACGTGGAAACGGCTGGGAACGTTGACGTATTGAAATTACATTGCTAATTTGGTCCCGGGTGTCGGCTACGATCCTGCGAGATCCCGACATTTTCGCGGCCAATATTTACGGCTTATCAGGGCGATGGCTTAGGCTTATCGCTAAGAGTAGTGGTGTAGTTCGGGATGCAGTGTAGCAACTCCCAAGATATCACTCATATTTCTCTGATTTTAGTAGTGGTCATTCTATGGGTTTACTGTCAGTTTTAGTGAGCCAATTATCGGTGATACTCGGAGATGATCGAAATGATGTGTGGGGCCACATTTAAAGATGGTGACGATAACATGGAGATCACGATGTCCAGATAATTGCTTATTAAACTACAATTATGAAATTTAAATACTTTGGATATCATAATATGCTAAGATAAACCTCACGGCTTGATGCTATAAAACCACTGCTCAAATGGACTCTTCCTCAACGACAACACTTCCAGACCGGCTGGAAACTTCAACTTTGTAAATGCTATTGCAATTTTGGGGTGGAGAAGCGCATGGCGGTCAGCTGTCGTCTTTGATGATGGCGACGACCCTCGACAGCGAAATCCACCACCAGCGCCCGCAGCGGGAGCGGCGCCCGCTCCTCGGTGCTATAGAGAAGGTACGCCTGCGGCACCGCGTGTTTATCCACGCCTTCCTCGACCACCAACTGGCACGACATGGCGGGTCACGAAATAGGGGTGTTTAGATTAGGAAAACAACAACAGAATGGGGGGGGCCCAAAGAAAGGAATCAGGGTAGACACACTAGTTTTCTTGACGTCCCCACGAGGGTGAAAAGTTTTGGTTGCAAAAATGCATCTCAAAGGGGGGCGGGACCACCTTAAATATACGTCACTGCCGCCTTACCGACTGTGGGGGGCTTATTGTGTTGAGTACGGGTACCATGATGTATGGATTTCTGTTTTTTAGTTGCGCAGCCCTGGGTACATTACAACCCACCACTATTTTCCAACGCAACTCTGTGTCAACCAACAGGCTCTATTCGCTCACTAAATGACAAGCGCCCGCAACTGTAAATTTTTTAAAAATTTTAATTTTTGATTTGTTTTTGCTGACAACGATGACGAGTGTTTACCTCGACTCTGACGTGAGCCGTGTAATCGGGGAGTAGTACCCTTTTGGTATGTTTGCGGCTCGGTTGTTTCGGCTAGCCGCGGTGGTACTTGTGGTCGCTGGTCTAGACCAAGGCTAGGGCATAGATGATGTGGTTGTCCGACGGCGGCTCCGGGTGACGCTGCTCACACGCCACATCCACTAACTAACCTCACACCACCCTGCACTCCCTGCATTCCCCTACCTACCCCCCTCAAGTGGCTTGAGATTTTCCTGGCAGCAAGCAAGCATCCCGCAGCGCACCGTGCGCGCGGCTCTCCCAGTGGTTACCTCGAGGTTAAGCTTTGCACTAAGCAAAAAAAAAAAGCCAGTCACGCGAAGTAGTCCAAAAAACAAAAGAGAGCCGTTAGTAGCACTTACGCCCAAAGCAATCAGGTGGTGGCACAAGGAGTATCAGATCATACAACTAGTAGGTGTTTGTTGGTGAGCGTGGCATTACGTGGTTGGATGTAGGCACCGACGTCATTGAGGGGGCTTGGGTTTGGCGTGTACATGCTGAATGGGCTAATTTTTGGTGCCGCTATGCTCTGTGTCCTCGTGCACCCTTTCACGCTCCACCTGTATTTGGTCTGACGATGACTTGCTGCGAAAAACAAAAAAAAAAAAAAAAAAAAAAGGGGAGNCAGTAGCAATAAGGCGGGGAGCGAGTGAGGGGAGGAAAACGCGGGGAAGAGACCCTGGAAATTGGCAGTGGACCCTTAAGGGTTTAACGGCTGATATCGTAGACCACATGCCACACGTCGGGGGCAAACGTCTTTACTTTTGTTGTTTGGGTTAAGGCGCCGGCGAGGGATTTAGCCGCTGATTGGCCTAGGCTTTCGATATCGTCTTTATGGACATTTTCGTGGACATGGATATTGGTGGTGTTTGAGGTGGAATTGAGGGCAAGTTGATGGGCAATCGGCCACAGCGGTTTTGACAGGGGCAACAAACCTAGATTGACATGGCTTATAGGCAATTTGGCGTTGCCAGTGCCTAATCTTTGGAGACAGTGTTCGTTAGACTCAAGGAAGAGAAAGGCGCGAATTGTGCCATGGGGGTCAATTTCTGAGGCGTCGAAGGGGTCACCAGGGTAAATCACTTTATAGGTGTAGTTGGCATTCTCCAAAGCTCGGCGGAAACCTTCAATCAGCCACGGGTTGATGTCCCAGCCGATGATGGTAGCGCCGAGCCTCAAATAGGAAAGCGAAAAGTAGCCAATACCACAATATAAATCGACCACCACCGTACCGGAAAGGTCACCAAACTGGTGTAAAATTCTCGCCTTTTCCGTGATATTACCCCGGGAGAACATCGTGTGGCGGGGAGCCCACGTTTGCCAGATTTGGTTCTGGGTGGCCGAGCACCAAAACGCTCGGTTAAAGTCGTCGGATGTGGGGTTTTCAATGGTTTGCGGGGTTGGTTCGGGGCCAAAATCACCCACAAGCGGTTTCAAGTTGGTGGGACGGCGGATGGCGTTGTTTTCGTCGTCGATGGGCTGGTTGATGGCGACGTGAGTACACCCGGAAGGAAGCCAGGACAAGTCGTCAGACTCGAGGGGGTGGGATAAAAGCACCATTGGAGGATACACGGCGTATTTCTTAGGCATTTTGGGCGTGATATCGCTGTTTTTGGTTGTATACTCTTCATAAGGGAAATCGAGGATTGGGGTGTCCAGAGTCAGCAGCACCACAAACTGGCCGTGGTCGTTCTTATGGATCTTCTCCAATTTGTTAAACAAACCGGCGGCTTCCAATGCCAGCTTCGCCTGCTTGACGGCGTGGGCATCGTCAATAAGATAGCGTAACGGCATCGCAGATCATGCCCGTGCGCGGCGTGAACCCAAATCAAGAACACATAGGAGGAGTCAAACATCTAGGATACACATTGATAATCAGAGTTTTGAAACTCGCTATTCAGCTATTCAAAAGAATGAGTTGGTAACTAGACTTGGTTGATCTTTTTTGACTGATTAGAATAAATTAGGCAGGTGTCGTGGTACTCTGAGTTGGAAATGCGAAAACAGGTGTTAGTGGTACTTTTGAATCCAGTTGTACTCCAATCGAATGATGGCTTGAAATTGTAACTGAATCAAACGAAGCTTTAATAAAACGATGCTTCGGTCAAGTAGCTTCTATGGGGCATAAGTGAACCATGATTGTAGTGATACTTGACGTATTTAGCTGGAGAAACTGGTGACAAACGGTAGCTACATATTATTTATATTGATGCAAGGCAAATTTTCTCTTGAAAGTCTATAGACGATTCGTCGTTGGACGGGGTCGTGGCTGACGCCTGTGATAGTGGTCCCCCATAGCGTGCCCCTACCGATTCTCGGGTTTGTCGTGGCGAATTCTCCTCCGTCGCGCTCAAAAAAATTCAGGTGTCTTACATCTATCGTGGGGTAAAGCGGCAGAAAACAACCACAACCACGTGACCATCAGAACTAAACCAACTAGCTTTAATGTAATTAGCGTCGATCAAGTAAAAGTAGTCACACAACCGGTCAATACCATCATCGTACCCACCGTTGTTTTCACCACCGTATTCGTCGCGTGCGGTCCCGCCCGCGGTGTTTTTCCGTCACGAACCCGTACCCCAAAAAAAAGGTACCGTCCCGAGAACCCTCACCGAGAATTTATCGCTACCACCCACCACACGAAAAACCCGATGATTAAGTCGCCGGCCAACGCCACCATGGGCGGCCGCGGGTGCCTGCTGTCCGTGCTCTACATCGGCAACTTGGCCAAGCTGATCCCCGAGGAGAGAGTGCGGGAAATGCTCGCCGAGGCGTGTCTGCCACCACCCCAACCGTCGACGACGTCCCTGGCGCCACCGGCGCAAGAGCCAGCGAAACAAGTACCGGTATCTGTCAAGCTCCTCAACGACAAGAACCGGCCGGGCTTCAATTACGCGTTCGCCGACTTTGGGTCGTTTGACGCCGCCCACCAGGCGCTCCAAACACTCGCCCAGGCGCTGGTGGATAACATCCCCTTGAAGGTGAACTGGGCCTACCACCTGCTGTCGCAGGACTGCACCGACGACCTGTTCAATTTGTTTGTTGGCGACTTGAGTCCCGACGTCGACGACGACTTGTTGGCGAAGCTGTTTGCCGCCTACCCGCTGTTGAAGCTGGCCCACGTGATGTGGGACATGCAACTGGGGCGGCTGAGAGGCTACGGGTTTGTTGGTTTCACGTCAAGAGAAGATGCTGAAACCGCCTTGGTACAAATGAACGGCCAGTGGGTGTCGGGTCGAGCCCTCCGGTTGAATTGGGCCGCGCGAAGTCACGATAAACCCCACCAACAACAACAACAACAACAACAAAGTCATCAGCAACAACAAGAACACCAAGGTCATGGTCATCAGCAGCATCAGGTGGCGGTGCCGCTGCAGACGTATCCTCCCCAGTTTTACCCGCAACTGTTCTATCCGTCGACCACTGGAACCAACGGCAGAGCCCTCCATAATGACCACCAACGGACACAAAATGGATTCCAAAACAACCACTCCCAGAATGGCTACCAGCAGAATTACCACCAGCAGAGCTACCACAGCGATACCAACACGCATCGCGGTAACTCGCACTACCAGAACCATAACAACCACCACACACCAGGTTACCATAACCACACCCAAAACAATGGCCACGCCACCCCGCAGATCCACCCGCTGCTGTACGAGCTGGTAGTGAGACAGCTGGCCCAGTGGCAGACCACCGTCTACTTGGGGAACGTCCCCCACTATACGCCCCCACACGAGTTTATCCCGTTACTACAACAGTTTGGCTACATTGTCGACTTCAAATTCCACCCGGAAAAGGGGTGTGCCTTTGTCAAATACGACTCCCACGAAACGGCGGCGTTGGCCATCGTTCAGTTACAGGGTCTTGTGGTTCATGGGTGGCCGCTTAAATGTGGCTGGGGACGCAAACGGTGAGAAAGAGATTGAAGAAAAACGCTGCTCGGGCTCAGTAGCGATATTATAGAGTAATAGATGCTAGTCATAAAAAAGTAAGATTAGAAGGGAGTAGTTTTTATGAGTGATGGAAGAAGTATAGTGCGGGCAAAAAGTATCGGCACAGACAGGGTTCGAACCTGCGCTCCACAAGGGAACTGGAACCTGCATCCAGCGTCTTAACCTCTCGACCACTGTACCGAATATGCACAATGTTGTATTAAGTTGGGTGAAAGTCGTGTACTACTCGAAATAGCCAAACGTAAAAAGGGCGGGATGTCGAGACCAACATTACTTCAAACTTGATACCTTTCGATAACTGTGTTTAGATGCATATGGTTGTAATCTCGACACCCCGCCGGGTATGTGCTGGGTCTGTACGGTGTATGCAGGGCGTGCATCCAACGAGCGGGTGACTTCAGCTCAGCCTAGGGTTGAACACCTTAAGCTGCCCGCACCGTGACAACTCCGTTGCCGGAGTTATCACGTATGCTTCTATATAATACTCACGCGGACTCCTCCCGAGTGCACCACCGCCGGAACCTACCGGCGAATACCCATGCCCCGGTCACCTACCGGTAAACCTATACCGGTGTGTAAGTATCTTCGACGGGGTATTCCTCCAAGGCCGAACAAACTATACAACACACAAATTTTTAAGCCGCTTTATGGTACGAGACCACCTGAAGTGCACATTTTGCCTTTTAAGCCAAATATATCAATCAATTGCCACTTTAAACCGTACAGACCTACTCTTCTACGTCAATTAACTCAAATTTCACTCAATGAGTGTACATTTCCTTTAAATTCTGACATTCATTCACGTTATTTCATATCTCATTTACTTACCCTTGCGGTATACTTCCAAGTTGGTCAACAACGGCTTGTCGTTATAAGAGAACAAGTATGCGGGCCCTTCAGTAACCACGTGACGGAACGGTTTCCACGCCGGGATACAGAAAGTATCTCTGGGACCCCACTCAATCTTGTCATCGCCAATTTCAGTATACCCTTTACCCTCATAAATGTGGTACACAAACGACGAATTTTCCTGTCTTTGGGGCGATTCCAGCTCCACCCGTTCAGCATTACCGCCAATAATACTCAGCAACGGCTTGCCGTTGGTCTGGCGGTACTCGTAGAACGAATACCCGTTAGCATCTTTATTTCCATCAAGAGCCTTCTGCGTCTCGGACCACGGGAACCGCAAATCAGGGTTACCTTCTTGAGTCACGGGGAACTCATCTTTTTCGTAGTGTTCAGCAAAGTTCACTGGAATAGCTTGGAAAATGGGGAGGTCAAGCCCGTCGAGCCACACCATCGCCCCCTCGCCTTCCTTACCGTGGTCGTGCCATTGCCACCGGGGAGTAAGGATGACGTCCCCCCGTTCCATATACAATCTCAGCCCTTCAACATTGGTGAAAGCACCTTCGCCTTCGACGATAAATCTGAGGGCAAACGCTGAGTGGCGGTGGGCGGGGGCGACTTCGCCAGGGTTGATGTATTGTAATCCGGCGTATAAAGTGTCAGTAGTTTGCGGAGCTTGGAGGGCAGGATTAATGAGCATAAGCACTCTTCTTTCGGCGTCGGCGGCGGCGACGAGGTGGCCTGCTTGCTCTAATAACGGGCGGATATCATTGTACTTCCAGAGTGTCGGAACTGCTCTCGGCGCCGGCACTGGCGGAACCACTGCCGCCATCTTTGGCCACAACGCCTCGACGTTGTGAGCGGGGAGGGTCTTGAAATAAGCGGAGGTGTCCTGCGAAGGTGACATAATGTATAGGAGGTGGGTTTTAAGGTCAATTTGTCAGGCTCGTGTTTGGTTCTTATAGTTTATCGGAAGCGGTTCCGAGGCTCCCCACTTCATAGGGTGCACGTTCCGAACATACGCTACGGAAATAAGCTAAAGGAGTTAATGATGACGTGATTCCTATGCAGCTGTTATTGTAGAATCACAATATCAACGTGTTAAGGGGTAGATGAGGGGAGTGGTAGGTGGGGGGGGTGTATGGCACTCGGTGGTGGTCTCCGGCGGAAGTGGTTGCCGCATTCGCACTATACGCTCCGATGTTCCGCACACCTTTCCGTACACAAACAGCTTTCCGCACCCCACACTATTTCCCCAGCCAAATTCCGTCATCGCTGGAAACCTTTAAATTGTTTTCATCACGTGTGTGTGGTAATAACATGACCTGTTACATCTACTACAAATTGCTCACGTGACCCTCACACTAATCTCGCTTTACATCGCCACATCGACTCACCAGCCACCCCAAAAACGAACTTACTAAGATTTATTTCAAAGATCAAGAATTTTCCATCATCATGTTTACTCATATATCGTCTCATATTATTGCCCAATCATTCAAGGTCGACTTTTTTGTACTTTAACTGTATATCGGATGCGGATACGCTGAGTCTTCGCCTCGTCCAATTTCCGCTTCACTTTCGCCTCAACCCTTTTCTTTTCCATTCCTCTTAAACAGGGACACTTCCACAGCGTGTGGTGGTGGTGGTTAGTGCCGAACGCCTTTTGAAACCAATTCTTTTTGGTACCTTCTTTTTTCAGCTCTTTCTCGTCGTCTTTGTCTTCGGCTTTTTTTCCGGTGGAGATTGTCATAGAAAAGGCAAAGGAAGACCACCGCGAGAAGCACCCACGCCGTCTCGTACTCGACCCGGCCAAAACAAACACTATCTTCAATCATTAGGATGAGTGGTGTGTAAGAGAAAAAATTTGACGTTTACAACAATAATGGCTTTACACGATCAATGGCATGCCCGCCTTTAGGGCCCCGCCTTGCTCGTTAACCATTTTTCAACGCCTGTGCGAAAAATTCGTCGTATCGTAGGAAAATTTGTTAGCGATCAGTGCGCCGCTAGCCGTGTGCAGAAACAGCGTTGCGTCTAAGAGGGCGTTGCTCTAAAGAATGTGGAAAATTTTACCTGATGCGATGAGATAGACTCGTCATCTCTAACTCTGAACCTTTGGTGGTTAAATCAGCAGTGATATTTACTCCACTTTAGTAGAATTGGTTCTTAATAGTCTTCATTAGTCCATTTATTTCTCTTTCCGTATAGTAGTACTGTTGACCGAAGCCAATATGCTTAGTGCGAGTATCAGTCCACTGACCACAGCTTGGCAATCAAGTCGTGGTATCAGGCATTAGTTGACACCGTTAATTACCGATGTTGACCCACAGGTTGCCGCAGATACAGGTTCGTTGGAACACCATCGTCCACAAGCCAATAGTGTGGGGAGCATCAAACACTAACGGATCAGTAACGAGACTCACCAGGCGACACCGGGTACACTTCCTGAGCCTCAGCTTGGGGCCATCGGACACCACAATTTTCCGTAAGGCGTCAATGTGTTCGTTCACCGCATAGGGAAGGCGAGCCTGAAATGGCAGCTGCTTCTCGTTAGCATCAGTGGTAATCGGCAATCTAAGCGGTCTCCGTGGCGGATGAGGCAGTGATACACCGACGCAGAGCCAGTCAACATCGTAAAAGTAGAGCTCTGAAATCTTCATGTCTCGGTTCAAGTTCACTTGGTGGCGGTCTAGAAGCACCAGGGCGATCTCCTGCATTTCTGGTAAAAGCTCACCCTGACAGACAAGCTTTTGCTCCAATTTGAGGGCGTAGCCGGGGTCTTTACCCTGTAATTTAGCGGCGAGCTCCTTGGAGATGTAGGCGTCACACTCCCTCAAATAGTTTTCAAACAGCGAGAACGTGATGGGGAGTTGCAGCGTCAAGCTGAAGTAGCGGTTCAACGCCTCTTTCATGGGAGTGTAGAGCTTATTGGCCTCGGCGAGGTCTTTATGCAATTTCTTTAAGATCTCTCTCGTCTTGCCGATTGATGACAACGCGTACATCAAGAATAAGCGGGGCACTTTGGCGAGAAGGATGGGGAGCGCTAACGAGTTCTCCATCGTCACTTTCAGGTCCATATTCGGCTGGTTACGGCATATCAGAAGCTGAAAGAGCTCCTGGTAGATGTACACCATCAAGTCAATAAACCACTTCACCGAGCCGATAAGCGATATGATACGTTCTCCCCGAGTTACTGAGTCAGCAAGCAGGTCGTCAATGGGTTTCTTTTTCGTCACTTGAGCGTAGATACTCAGTAACGAGAACATGATGCCGAAACTGGTACTGCGCATATTGAGCACCACCCAAGCAATATCACTGACCACGGGCCGCGGTACAAGCTCGCCAAGTAGTAATTGCAAGCTTAAAAGCTTTTGTAATGGCGGGTTAGAGATCAATTTGTCCACTGACTCCCGTGAGAAAGTGTCTAACGCAAAGTTAATCGCCTTATGCGACTCTGAAAGCACCAACAGCACGATATCTTGAGCCAATTGCGGTTTAGCCGCGGCTAGCCGTTGCACTTCAGCCGCTATAAGCACAATAAGATCATCACAACAGCAGTTCATATAGCACGCCTGGGCGTGGGAGTGAGCGAAGGCCACCGCCATCGTGTACACGTGTTCTTTCGATAGTTGCTGGCCCCATTTTCGTTCGACGGGGAACAATTTCGGGTGGTTATCGTAGAAGGCAACGTGTGACAGTAGCGTAGGGGACACCACAATCATCGGAGACGCGGGGATATCGGCGAAATCGTAGCCAACGTCGAATACCAGAGCGATCTTCGTCACTTCAGGTTCCACGGGGCGGTCAATGTCCATCGCCAGCGGATCTTTTGGGGTGGAATGTTTATGATTAATAAGCTCCATTTCGAGCAGGAACACGTCGATGCGGTCCTCGAACACAAACACTATCAGCAGCTCCATCTCGTCGATCCTGATAAGCTTACCTGGGCGCACTAGTTCGTCAGCAAGGCGTAATGTTCGCTGGGCGTTAGCAGGGTTTGTGGGAGTTATCCCTTTGCGTTCAGCGAGCTGAGTAAACAGACTCAGTACTAGTTCAGTCTCGGGAACCAACTGGTAGCGGAGGAACCGCGTTTCGTGTTCGTACTGGTACCACACGAGCAACGAGATATCGTGGGTGGCAGTACAGTTAAGCACTTGTAAGTTAGCGAAATGGCCCTCGCGACACTGTTCCAGCTCGTCGTCAAACACGTATGTCGGGGCAAGAGCCATTTGTGCCAATTTTGTCGCGGTAAGCTTTGGGGGAGTCTTATCCTTATCCGGGGTATTATAGTGGGGGTTCTCCTTCTGGCGCGCCGCCAGTTGGGTCAAGTGGCCCCAATCGATTGAAACAGCGTAGGTAAACAATTGTTGAGTTAGTGAGTCCACTACCGAGACCATAACTCGGTTATCCTTAAGGAAACCAATCAGAGCGTGGCTAACGTCAATCACATCAGGTAGCGGCTCGCAGTCGACGCGATGGTACTCCACTTTGTGTTCCCCCTGATGGTATAATGTAATTCTCCCGTTGCGTCTCACGGTGATACACGCCTGTTTCGTCGGGATCGGGTGGGTCACGCCGATCGGCGGCACCTGTTTGACCAGGTACGAGAACTGTTTCAGCGCCGGGTCCCGGACAGCGGCGCCGTTGATGATCAGCGGCTTGGCAATCTTCAACCAGCGGAAGCCCACAAGCGGCAGTTTTACCAGTAAGTCCTGGTAGATCATCTCGATGTGGTTATAGCTGGTAAGCTCATAAGCGGGGGTCTCCGAACGGGAAACAAGACCCACACCGGCGAGATAGATGTAGAAGTTGCCCAGGACGTCGGCAACAACCAAGTCGGTGCTTGGATTCAGCCACAGCACCAAGGAAACCGGCAGCGGGTGGAGCTTGTGTGGTGGGGCAAACCGCCACTGCTGGCCGTCGACACACTCGAGGTGGGTCACGTAGAGATGGGGGTTGGCGTATGCAAGGAACCCGTGCTTCAGCCACAGGATGGTGGGCGTCATGGCGTGTGGGAGCGGACCTGGAGAGCGGCGTGGACCTGGTGTCTCTCCACTATGGTGGGCGGGCTAAAGCGCGCGCGGCGGTACATCAGGTGGACCAAAACAGAGGCTGGAACTATACAAGATATCGAGGATAATTGAACCTAAATGGATTGAATTTTGCTTGTGAATTAGCAGGATGGTTGTTGGTATTGATTGGTGATGATTTGGATCTGATTTGATGGTTTTACTGATGAGTGGCTGAGACCTTCTACAATGACTATGGCAGTGATATCAGTCGACGAAATTCAACCGCAAATTGGTTTTAATCACCCAAAAGGGTTTCAGAACGATCTTGGGTATCCATTGTTGGTCATGGGTTTTATGAATTGGTAGTTTAACGGAGTGATGGCTACTCCCTGTCGATATGGCCACTGCTTCGCTACCAGTCTACTGAAGCCAACTGCAAATTGGTTTCAATTATCCAAAGGTCACTGTTATGATTACTGGTATCGGCTAGTGATGATTGGTATTTGCATTACTGGTTCAATCGTGGAATAGCTATGGCCTACCATCTGGCAGTCTCAAATGCTATACCAGGACGAAGTGGCTTTGACAACATAGCGAGTGTTCATGGTGATCAAGTAAAGCAGGGTAAAGGATTTGCTATTGGTGATGGTTCGTTGTGGATTGGAGGATGGCCACGATGAGTCGCGTACACTGGCGTTTGGAGATAAACACGTTGTCAGCACCTACGATGTGAAGAACGATAACTGCTATGTTATTCAGATATTGGTTACACATTGAATTACATTGTCTCCTCGAGCTGCCAACAATACTGATGCTGCTGACGTTAGTTCAAGTTTGGTTCATCGCGACCATTGGTGAAAGTAAACAACGGCGTTTAAAGCTTCATCAATCAAGTCCAGCTCATGAGAATGGCGTGATTTTGTTTTGTGAAGTAAACAAATGATTGAGGTGGTATTCATCTTCAATTCGCATCACGACGATGATGTTGTTTTCTAAAGTAAGCGATGACCACCATCAACAACAGTGCCCACAACAACAACAACACCATTCTTTCCCCCCTTTAACGCATTCTCTAAGTTTGATACCATGGAGTATTCATTCATTATTGCTTAACTTATTATGCTAACCCCCATCTTTGTCGACATTTGATACCCGGACCATACCACCACCAAATGCCCTTCTCCACCACCTAAAACTCACAATCGGTTGACTATGCGCTGGCTGATCACGACGACAATCACGACTATCCCAAATATCACCGGTTTGACCACCGCCTGGGCCATTGTCATCATCGTCTTCATCAATCGATTCATGGAGGAAAACTCCGAGCAAAATTCACAACAAATCGGCACTGCGATAACCACAATCGCTCGATTGCGTCACCGATTATCTCCGACGGTTCCAAGCCGTTTTGTGGGTCTCGTGACACCCCCTATTGTCCCTCACCCCCTGATCCCCTGCACCTCGGCTATCACCAATCCACCCGTCACGAACGGGTCCGGAACTGATTACAACTGCTCTTACCAGTTATGTCTCCTCCTCGATCACCATCGGCGCTGCCGGCGCCCAGCTACCACCACGACACCAAGCCCGAGCCCGACGTGGCGCTAGCGCTGGCGATCGAGCTGCTTGGAGCGCACCAGCAGGCGACCGACGCCACCGTGGAGGCGTTGGCAGATACGGTTAACCGATTACAGGTGGCGTGGGACTGCTCTCGGGACCTACAGAGCGAAGCAGCTACCCCTCTGGTGACAGCTACCTGGAGCCACGTTGAAGACGTTAATGGCGATAATGAAGCAAACGAAGCGGGGACGGTGGTCAGTGACGTCTTGTGTGAGTTTATCCGCTTCCATCTACCAGTAAATGGTCAAGTACGCCACTGGAAACAGTTCATTGAAGCCGTATCGGGGAGGGCAACTGAAATAGGGGTACCGCCACGGAAAGTTAACGGGTCCATGAATACCATGGTGCTGATCCCGTTATTTGAACAACTACAGATCCACCATACTTTCAGTGGGGATGACTATAATGATGATTTTGATTCCCTCCAAAAGAAACTTGATGAGCGGTTGGCTGGTGACCATGACAAATTCAGGCAAGCGTACCATCATGCGGCACTAAAAGATGCTAGCTGCTGGCCTCGGTTTACCCAGTTTGTGTCCACATTGCCGCAGACCCTCCCCTATGAGTATACTCTGGAAGACTGGTACGCTATGACACAGGTGCTACTTCCTTACGAGCAATGGCCACCAAGTTTCCGCCGCCACTACGAGTATGAAATACTTTTGTATATGACCGTTATGTTTAAAAGAAATTGGAGCCTCCAAAGCCATGAGGTCATCACGATGCTTGAAAAGTTTACCAAGCCCCTACCGGAGAGGAAACGGTCATCTAAACGATCACCCAGAGATTGAAATCTGACGGTTACTTAAGACGTTTATTTATCACGCACTTATGAAGGTTTATTGCAACAACTTCTTTTCCAACTTGTAGTTGCCCTTGATCCATCTCAGGAGCATTTCCAACGACAGCTCGGGCTGGTCGTAGGGGACCATGTGGCCACCGTCGAACAATCTCAAGAAAGTGAAGTGTTCGTAGTTCTTGACGGTACCCGCCTTGGTCGAGGCGAGGGGCGAGTCAAACACGGCGCCGCCGAGAGTTCTCAACTTACCCTTGATTTCGAAGGGCTTTTCCTCAGCCGAGGCAAAGGCATCGCTGTGCTTCCACGGCAACACGTTGGTCCACGCCTGGTTGCCCAACCAGTTGCAGATGAAGTCCTTGTCGCCGGCGTAGATGAGCACGGGCAACCCTCTTTCAAGCAAGTCGGTGACGGCTCTGTGGTAGGGCTTCATCCAGTCGCCGGCGAACAAGAAGTTCTTGTTGATGTCGAAGTTGCACCCCTGGTAGGAGTCGACCTCGACGCCCAACGCCTCCATCACTTCCTTCTGGTTCAAGTACTTGTCGATGTAGTCCAAGTCCTCGTAGCAGAGCGACGACCCCTCGCAGTTCTTTCTGATGTCGTACACGTTTTTGCCCGTCTTCTGGTAAGGGCCCATTTGAGCGTTGTTGCAGTAGATGGTGGCGGGGACACACGACCACACCGACTCGGAGTCGTAGCACAGTTGAATCAACGACAAACAGCGCGGGATCAGCTTCGCCATCAGGTCACATTGTTCCTGGTCCAACACGGGGTCGGCGCCGCCCTCGCCGCAGGCCATGGGCTGGTAGTATTCGTATTGGGTCAAAGGGTCAGTCAACCCGTTGCCGATGAGCACCGAGGTTAAATTGAAGTTGCGGTCGTCGTGGCTCAAGATCTCGGTGGCAAACACGGGGATGTAGTGGCCGGCGTACAGCTCACCAGCGATGTGGAAGTCGTTCTTGGCGTACTGGGGGAACTGCTTGAAGAACAACGAGAGGAACGAGTACACGTCTTTGCCCGCGGCAACGGTGTCCGACACCAGCTGCGACGAGTACAGGTAGCCGACGTTGATCGGCTGGTCCAAGAAGATGACGTTGGCGTTGTTGTTCCACGAGTAGTCGTTGGGGATCGGCTTCAAGGCGGGGCCGATCGAAGCGGGGCCCAATTCAAAGAACAAACCAGTAAGCGACGAGCAACCCGGGCCGCCGTTAAGCCACAAGATGGTGGGGTCCTTCTTGGGGTCGCCTCTCAGCTCGAAAAACCAGTAGAAGAAGTGCTTGTCCTCTTCCAAGTCGTCGATGTAGCCCGAGTACTGTTTCACCTTATCGATGCCCAACAGTTCAGGAGTGGACTTACCCCTCAATTGGTAGTTGGGGTGCTTTGCGTCAGTGACGACAAACTGCCAGTCGGGCTTGAACCCCAGCAATTTCTTCGCCGGCGCCTTAAAGTCCAACTGCGCCACGGCGTCGGGGAACTCAAGCATCATTTCCGCCCACAATTGCGCCTGTTCCTTGGGCACTTGCAACTTGTCAATGACGCTGGCAATGGCGTGATGGCCGATGGCGCCGAGCGAGCCCAAGTTCTGCTTAAGGGCGTCCAAATGGTCGCCGACGTTGAACCCTTCCTGGAGCTGGTTGGCGGCGTCAAGCACTTGCTGGGGTAAAGTCAACGCCAGCGCTCCCGCGAGCACAAGCGACAAGTGGGAAACTCTCATAATTCAGCGAATACTAGAGGGTTTTCGTAGTGGAGTTTTGATAAGGGGGCTGGATGAATTATAAACCCCGGGTGGCGGCCGCTGGGTGCGAATGGGGGGAGGGCCGGGGCTGCGTAACCAGAGGGGGTCTAATATTGCTATCTCTGAAATTTCGGGGCTGTGGTTGTCCCAGCAACCAAGCGAGAAAAGTAAGGGTCGAGGGGGTGGTGTCTTAGAAATGGTATATGGTACTGAAAAAGTGGTACTTATGGGCGATTTGAGGGGGTTTCTTCGAGCCCCCTCTCTGGTAGCGATTGCGCCGTTTAGAGGAACGGGTTATCATTGTGCAGGAAGGCGCATGACCCGTATTGAGACAATCGAAGGCACTAACGGCAAGTGAGACAAGCTGTATGGCAGCAAACGGTCAGATTTGGAGGACGTCTTTATTTGAGGTATAATTAGGGTTGATTGGTGTATAGGTTCAGTTGTTATTCCCTCTGTTTTTTACGTGGAATTGGTAAATATTGTGGGAGTTACACTAAGGGGTAAAATAGGGATTAAAGGCCGAGGTCGGGCCCTTCTTTTTTTTTTTGATAACACAAGTTATAGGCTGAGGAAGCGAGCCAGACATGTACACACCTTAGTGGTGATGGAACAGATAGCCCTAAATCGAAAAATTTAAAGGAGAGTTATAGAGATGGCCGAAGATGACCATTTTGACTCGTTTGAGAGTATAGTCGTCTTCTAATTTCACAATTAAGCCATACAGTTACACTAAAATACGAATTTTCAGTTTGTTAGTGGTGGGGTCTTGGTCTCGGCTTTGGTTATCACTATCTGTGGTAGTCTTTGTCACGTGACTTATCGCCTTCCACCGATAGCCGCTTTATCCCACTCGCAAATCGTCCAATTGTGTATTTGACTCCGAACGACGACTAACCCTATTGAATACCCACTTTTCCAGTAAAATTTAAGGCTTCCCCGGCTGTTTTTACCTTCTAGTCTTAGTTGAGACCATCATTCATCCCTATCTTTGTCGGTGTTTGCCGTCGGACCCCCCTCAACCGCTCTCACTATCCTCTCGCCAAAACGTCCACAAAACACCGCCAAACTCACCGTTTACGACTTTGTTCGGAACCTAAAGTTAATCATTATAAGGTTAAAAGCTTATTGAACACAAACATTTGAGTCACACGACGGTATCTCCCCCTCAATTCCATCTCATCTCATCATTTACCAAAACTCGATAAATGTTGGGCACCGGGAACACCAGCAACGTGGTGGTGGCGAAGGGGTACGCCGTCAAGCGCTACCACGACCGCCGCGCCGGCGAGTCCCGCAAGCAGTTCCGCCTGCGGGTGGAGCTGGAGTACCTATTGCTCAAACTGTTGGACCACCCTCACGTGGTGGCGGTGGCGAAATTCACCACCAATTGGCTTGGCGACACCCCTAAGATGTACATGGAGCTTGGGAAGCCCAATTGGTGGCTTAATTGTCAGAATAAAGCCGAGGCGATGGCGCAAATCGTCATGGCAGTGGTGTATTTGCACCACCAAGGGATCGCCCATCGCGACTTGAAACTCGATAATACGGTGATGGTGGGCGGTCTAGTGAAGCTTGTTGACTTTGCTGTGGCCACGAAAGCCGTGCCAGCGGTGGGATTGGTCGGTCTGGCGCTGTATGTGGCTCCGGAGCAGTATACCCAGATTTCCTATTTGGGCGCCGCCTCCGACGTGTGGCTGGTGGCGATGATATTTGTGAGGCTATTTAAAGTGGCGCCGTGGTGGAAACTGGCCCATATCTCGGATTTGGTGTATCAGGAGTATGCTGGTGGGGGAGCGCTTCCGGCGCCGGTACCGGAGTGGGTCGCACAGGCACTCACGATCGACCCCGAGCAGAGGCCATCTATGGACACCATCGCCCTGCTTGTCGACCCCCATGCTATCACCGACGCCCACTGACTCAGTTTGCGGTCTATTTGACTCGTTTCCACGTCTATTTTTTGACTCTTTTCGGTCGTGGTCTGACTCGTATTCCCCACTTCGCGGTGACTCGGAATTTTCCACGCTTCGGCGATCGCCGCGCCCGCGCGCACCCCTCATTAAAACCACCCTCACGGCGCCCACATATATAAAAGCCAGCGGTCCCCCCCAAACCATCCCCAAGTATGCTTTCCCGCACCGCTGCCCGCCCCGTCGCCCGCGTGCTTGCCCGCCGCGCCTACGCCTTGCTGGCGCTGGCCCGCGCCTTGATCTCCGAGCCCGTCGCCGCCGTCGACCCGGAGATGGCCGACATCCTCGCCCAGGAGCGCCACCGCCAAAAGCACTCGCTCACGTTGATCCCGCTGGAGAACTTTACTCTGAAGGCCGTCATGGACTTGTTGGGGTCGGAAATGCAGAACAAATACTCCGAGGGTTACCCCGATGAGCGCTACTACGGGGGTAATGAAATCATCGACAAGGCCGAGAAATTGTGCCAAAAGAGAGCGTTGCAGGCTTTCGGTTTGGACCCGGAACAGTGGGGGGTCAATGTCCAGTCGTTGCTGGGTGCCCCCGCCAACTTGTACGCCTATTCCGCCATCTTAGAGGTGGGCGACCGCATCATGGGGCTTGATTTGCCTCACGGGGGTCACTTGAGTCACGGCTACCAGACCCCGACCACCAAGATCTCGTACGTGTCGAAATACTTCCAAACCATGCCCTACCGTCTTGACGAATCTACGGGTTTGATTGACTACGACACCTTGGAAAAGAACGCGATTTTGTTCCGTCCTAAGGTGATTGTCGCCGGCGCCCTGGCCTATTCGCGGACGATTGACTACAAGAGAATCCGGGAAATCGCCGATAAGGTCGGTGCCTACGTTTTATCGGATATGGCCCACATTTCCGGTCTTGTGCTGGCGGGCGTCGCTGCCCTGCCCTTCCCTTACTCGGATATCGTCACTACTACCACTCACAAGCTGTTGCGTGGTCCTAGAGGGGCGATGATCTTCTTCCGCAAGGGGATCAGAAAGGTCACTAAGAAGGGCAAAGAAATCCCCTACGACTTGGAGAGAAAGATCAACTTCTCGGTGTTCCCTGCCCACCAAGGGGGGCCCCACAACCACACCATCTCGGCGCTCGCGGTGGCGTTGGGCCAGACTCAATCGCCCGAATACAAACAGTACCAAAAGGAAGTCGTCGACAACGCCCAGGCGTTCGCTAAGCAATTGCAGACTGCTGGCTTTGACCTTGTTTCCGGTGGCACCGACTGCCACTTGATTTTGATCGATTTGAGATCGAAGGGCATCGACGGCGCCCGCGTCGAAGCGGTGTTGGAACGCGCCAACATGGCCGCCAACAAGAACACTGTGCCTGGTGACACCTCGGCGTTGTTCCCTTCGGGTTTGAGAGTGGGTACTCCCGCCATGACCACGCGTGGTTTCGGCCCTGAAGAATGGCAAAAGGTCACCGACTACCTCCAGCGCGCCGTCGACATCTCCATCGAATTGAAGCAAAAGGAGGAAGGCAAGTTGGCTAAGGATAAGTTGGCGTCGTTCAAGAAGTTGGCCGACGCCCTGCCCGAAGTGAAGCAGTTGGGCGATGAGGTGTCCAAGTGGGCCGCCACCTTCCCCGTCCCCGGTGAGTAATCGGCGGGTAACTCGATGAGCAACTTTAAATAGTCTTTATAGAATAAACCTAAGTGACGATATCTAGTAGGATTCGGAGACGAGGAGTTATTGCTATTGGCGATCTGCTTTCTTGTCCCATTGCAAGGGAGCGCTGGTTGGTGGGACCTGGGCCGAGGGTTGAAGGCAAAGCTTTGGGCGAGTGCTTGTTGTCTGACTAGTAGGCGATTGTCAAGATATGTAGGAGCCGCTGCTGGGGGGGGAACAGTTGAAGATAGCCAATTTGACATGGCACGCTGCTTCCTCATTATAAATCGAAGAACCGCTAATTCTTCACCACGATACACCAAACGCTTTGCCAGATAATTAAGAATATAGACGTGCTGACCAACGAAGATTAAGTCGGCTCGACTTAGTAACAGTTGGCTCCTGATCCTCTTCCCGTCTATCATTTAGATCTCCTAAGTTATCATAATCTCTCACTCTACACTACCTGGTAGTAACTACCGCCCCAAAATCCTACGATTATGGTTACTGTTTGGCAGACGTTTTGTGTTATAGATGGAACGATGTCATTATCAACCAAGCGTTAATGCTTTCGTACTCTCCTCATAATTCCGACGCACTTTCTTCATAATTCCTTCGCTCCCTCCAAGCTCGCCACCACCTGGTAGCCAAAGTAGAAATGCTGTAGCCAGTACTTAGTGGTGGCACCGTTGTAGCTGTAACCAATCTGTACCGGTACATGTTGTGTTGGTGGCATATAGTGGATGCATACGTTTTCTCTCCTAACTTCTCGAGGTAAAGACTACTAACTACAAACCAAATCTCAGATTCTTCATTGCGCCATGATCGCTAAAAGCTCTTGACACGGCTCTTGCAGCGTTGAGGGCCCCTTAATTGCTCACTAGGTTCGAGAGGGCCTGTGGAGTTGAAGGCTTGTCGGCAGGCACCACAAACACTGCTTCATCAAAAGGAATGGGGCGTGGCGACGGAGAAAGGCCCATTGCTAATTCCGCCAAACACAGTCGTATCACTGTATATGTGGCCCGATTTTGCATCCGGAAAATAGGCAGTCTGAGCACTTTTAGTGTTCACCAACACCATGAGCCCACTTTTGATAAAGACAAGTAAATCTCAGCATTCATAATTGTGAAGGGTCTTGTATTCATTCAGTGTTTACAGTTATTGACGTCTGTGGCTGGTGACATAAATATAAGCTCAGAAAATTCCACCATTTATGAGGGACACAGCAAGATCGTGCCACAATCTCTTCCTGGACTGCATTGCGTGACAGGATGAACCTTGGCGGCGGTGAAGTCTTTGACAACTGTATGGTTTGCCATTTAGCAAACTTTGTCCAATTTTATCCCACTTCTAGCAAGTGTATACCAAGATGCAAGTATACGACATCGTTCGAGAAAAACCCAGCAACACGCAGGTCTGGAGTTTCTTCAGGAAAGATTATAATACGACTTGCACTGATATTACCCACCGTGTCGAATTAAGTATGCCTTTGAGCGAAGACGCAAAAGATAAAGTCGTACAGTGATATCTGCTGTAGCATTGATTTGAGCGCCGCTCTCAGGGCTCACAACCAATCTCGCAGCCGATCTGCGGGCCCACCGCTGGATCCCTGCACAAACATCAACGCCAGTTCCTGGACCCAGCAATTTGTTTGAAGCCAGTTAAAACCCCCAGCGCCCAGCACCTCCGCCAGTGCCGGTGCCAGACTCCACAACCGGTCATGGGGCCGAATATGGGGCCGGTCTCAGAGACCACCCCCTTCACCAGCAGCGGTTCTGGCGCTCAGCGCCTTCGCCAGCGCCGGATTCAGGACCCGCAACCGGTTCAAAATCGATCTTAGCACCAGTTTCACCACCGGGCTCAGCCGGCAGTTCCAGAAGCAGTGTGGGCGCCAAACAAAGTCAGCCTCCAAAATCTTCTCCACTCCCCGTATTGTGGTACTTACTCCCCCCCCCCCGACCTATATAGCTATATATACTGAGCCTGGGATCTCGTCGGATCAACCAGTAACCTTCCTCTTCTCCACGCATCGTTCCACAACGTCGGTCCCCTTTGGTCCAGGTTCATCGCCCCTCGCCTGATGACCTGGTCGCCCCATCCACAGTACATGTGGGTCCACTCTAAATCTAAATTGGACCCACATGTACTGTGGACAAGCTTAGAGATGTTAGTAGTTTGCTCTTAGCTGGAAGTTCAACTTGTCAATGGTACGTACCTTGCAATTTGCGCTTGAGCGACTTTGATTGTGGACTAGCGTCCCCTGTGAAGTTAGTAGTATGTAGTCATCTGTTCTCAAGTAAATTCTTGACCTGTAAATGGTCTCAGGAACGATACTTACCTGTTCTGGTGTCACCCTATCCTACTTCCCGGCCGGTAGGTGACAGTGTACCGTCCAGGGAAGTGGGGGTAAAGCCGTGCCCTCGATACCCCAACAGCAGCACCATACTCATCCACTGAGCGGCGCGCACCGGTGGACGAGGCCAACCCCTCAACTACTCCCAGGACAGGGGGTCAGCGAAACTGTCCAAGGAGGGGTAAGGCCGTGCTCCACCTCACCCTGCAATGGCATCTTTTGCACTCTTGTGGTCACCTACCGGAGTCGGATTGATTCTCTCAGGTGACGGAGTCGAATTGACTCATTCAGGGAACGGAGATAGGATGACGCTCAACGTTCAGGTATCGGAGTCGAATTGACTCATTCAGGGAACGGAGATAGGATGACGCTCAACGTTCAGGTAACGGAGATAGGTTGACACCCCTTATTCAAGTAACGGAGATACAATGACACTCTCGTTCAGATAGGGTTGTCGGANAGATTGACTCATTTAGGGAACGGAGATAGGATGACGCTCAACGTTCAGGTATCGGAGTCGGACTGACTCATTCAGGGAACGGAGATAGGATGACGCTCAACGTTCAGGTAACGGAGATAGGTTGACACCCCTTATTCAAGTAACGGAGATACAATGACACTCTCGTTCAGATAGGGTTGTCGGAAGACACTCACGTTTAGATAGGGAAGCCTGATGGATACCTTCGTATCGGAGTTGAATTGACATTCTCAGGCAACGGAGATAAAATGACACTCACGTTTAGAAAGGGGAGTACCAGCGACTCCCCTTGTTTCCCTTTTATGGGACCAACTCACCCAACGTCTGGCAGGGGGGAGTCTGATCCCGCCTCAACTTCCCAGTGGCACGCCCCGGTAGGTTGAGGTGTCGACCCTAAGCAACTTTTCCGCGGTCCCGGATCGACGTCGTTTAAGACCGGCGGACTGGAGGGGGTAAGGGCGAACGGCCCTTACCAAGGGGTGCCGAGGCCGGGTGGACCTCGACGGGTGCCGAGGCCGGATGGACCTCGACGGGTGCCGCCCCCGCAAGGGAGACGACGGGTGCCGCCCCCGCGAGGGAGACGACGGGGTGTCGCAGCCGCCAGGGCGTTGACGGGGTGTCGAAACCCGCGAGGGAGTCGACGGGGTGTCGCAGCCGCCAGGGCGTTGACGGGGTGTCGCAGCCGCCAGGGCGTTGACGGGGTGTCGGAACCCGCGAGGGAAACGACGGATGCCGACCAAAAGTTAGGTAGGCACATTGAGCGGCAAGGTTGGTGGGCGCCCTCCTTACCCCTCGGGTTTGGCAACGCGTCCAGCTAGTTGTAATTCCAGCCGGTCAATCAGCGTTGCTGCCACAGCGCGGAATGGTGCCCGGCATCACGCTCAGCTAGTTGTAAAAACAGCCGGTTGATGACGGAGTTGCAGCCACGGCGCGCGTCTGGTGGCCTGGCGCCGATCCCGATAAATCTTTCTCTCTTGTGACCTCACTCTTTTGATTTTTTTTTTTTTTTTTTTTTTTTTTTTTTTTTTTTTTTTTTTTTTTTTTTTTTTTTTTTTTTTTTTTTTTTTTTTTTTTTTTTTTTTTTTTTTTTTTTTTTTTCTTTTCAGTGAAATTTGGTGAGCCCNTTAATCTCTGTAACTTCACAATGGGATCGGCTCATCGAAAGGCAAGAGTGGTGGTGAGCATGTATTCTCTCTTCCCCCTCGGTCAATATTTTTTTCCGGCAACGCGCACGGCTGGATGTGCACCTGGTAGTTTTGGGGTCGTGCCTCACCCGAAAGCAACATCGTCCGAAGACGGGTGTTGTTTTTCGCGCTCACGGTCGAACTCGGGTCCCACACAATTCGTGGGCGGCGATAATGGCGAAGAGACATCCAGCTCGAGGGTCACTGCCTGGGCAGCAACCCCGGAGCGTATAATGGGAATACCGGACGTCCTCTTGCTGGAAGCAGCCCCCCCTATCCAGCCGGCGCCGCCATGGCGCGGGTTCTTCAGCCGCTGAACTTCTTGCGACTCGTTGTGGTTGTCTTTGGCCTCGCTTGGCTTCAAATGATCGACGTGATTTTTTGCTTTGGTTTCCAGGGGTTATGCTCCATTTGCTGACCTTTACTCTCGTTTGCACGATTCACTAAGCAAGGTAGAAGGAGCAGTCATTAGGGGCGGTGCAGATCCCCTTGTCTTCAAGTTTCCGGCACCGTTGAATAACATCGTCGTAAGCGGCCTTGATGTCTTTGTGACCCGCACGAAGCTGGTTGTTCACGCGACTAAGGCCGGCGTTCTTATCCAAAGCCACACGAAGTTCGGCCTCCTTTTGTTGCCCCAATTTGGAAACCGCAACGGCCACTAACTGCTTCCAGTAGGCAAACTTAGCGTCCGCCTCTTGCTTCACTTCGACAACGTCAGCGTCCTTTTGTTGCTCCAAACGGGCAAACCCAGCGGCAGCTTCTTGCTTCCAGTTGGCAAACGCAGCTTCCGCATGTTGCTTCAAAAGCGCAAACGCTTCAACATATTAATTAATTCGACAATTTCAGTGTCATGTTGCACCAAGTGCTCAACCTGTTGCATCAAGTGGTCATACTGTTGCTTCAAGTCGTCATACTGTTGCTTCAATTTGGCAATGTCAGCGTCCTTGTTTTGCAATTCACCAATTTGTTGCTTCAATTTGGCAGTTTTAGCGTCCTTCTTTTGCACCAACTGATCATTTTTATGCGCCAAACCGGCAATTTCAGCGTTCTGTTGCTTCACTGTGCCACGAAGGTTAGCGTTGGCTTGCTGGAGCGCATCAATTTCGGCGTCCTTGTTGCGCTCCAAACGGGCAAGCTCAGCGTCCTTTTGCTTAACCACGCGACCAAGGTTAGCGTTGGTTTCCCGGAGCGCATTAATTTCGGCGTCCTTTTGGCGCTCCAAACGGGCAAGCTCAGCGTCCTTTTGCTTAACCACGCGACCAAGGTTAGCGTTGGCTTGCTGGAGCGCATCACTTTCGTCGTATAATTGGCATTCCAAACGGGCAATCTTAGCGTCCTTTTCATCAAGCGTGCGACAAAGTTTATAGTTGTCGCTATAGAGCTCACGACTTTCGTTGTCCTTTTGGCGCTTCAAACGGGCAAGCTCAGCGTCCTTTTGCTTAACCACGCGACGAAGGTCAGCGTTGGCTTGCTGGACATCACCAATTTCGGCGTCCTTTTGGTTCAAACGGGCAAGCTCAGCGTCCTTTTGCTTAACCACGCGACCAAGGTTATTGTTGTCGACCTGGAGCGCATCAATTTCGGCGTCCTTTTGGCGCTTCAAACGGGCAAGCTCAGCGTCCTTTTGCTTAACCACGCGACGAAGGTCAGCG